AACCGGGAATAGAGTTATATTTACAAACACGGTTCTGTGTGACCAAGTTGTGATATCTATATTGGATTACTTAAGCATGTTGTTTACTCTACTCTAATATACTTAGTTTGGAATGGTTGATATTGTTATTTAGTTGTCAATGCCATATGAACTATTGGACGGATGGAATTGTATGCACCGGTATGGGACGGTGTCATACTGGGTTTGGATTTGCTCAAGTAACTAAGTCCTATCTATTTTGGAGTAAGGGCACGGGTTATAAAATACAATCCTCCTTATATATATAAGTCGGTACGGTGGAATACGCCGAGTGACTTACTGGATTTCTTGTGGATGGTTAGAAACGGAGTTTAGATATATTTTTATGTTACCGTGTCATGAGCTTGAGTCTCAGTGTCGACGGTTAGGGTGCGTATATGCAGTTGGATGTGTAGCTGATTGTGAAGGTTGAGGTATACCCTGTTTAGGTTTAGGTACTCATGCCCACTCAGGTGCGTATTGTGTGATGCCTTTTATCCAGGTTTAGACCCCCTTCATAGCCTAGCGAGAGTCCAGTAGTGTGGATATATTTATGTACGGATTATTAGTTATTGTTGAACTATTTAGTATGTACATGCGTATCGAGTCTCTACTTGGATTGTAGTAGGATAGAACTTGTTCGTGGGCCTGACCCACTCCTATTTTTCAGGTGTACGTCAGTTCCAGGCTTGAGCTTGTTCGTGCTGAGCAGAGACGATCTTCCATTCTACCGACGATGTAGGATTTCTTTCCAAATCTTGGATTTTGATTTTATCTTCCATTTTACTTTCATTCAGTGTGAGATTTTTATTAGGGGTCCACTAGAGATGGATTCCCGAGTTGTTCAAATTATGGATTTTTGGTTTATCAGATTTGGGTATTTAATTATTTAAGGATTATCTTTTAGTTTTCTTTTTAGCTTTAAACTTTTATTCTTAAATTCATATTTTTGTATTCTGTGTTCGTTATAACATATTGATTGTTTGATATCTCTCGGGTTTGGACCTGGCCCTGATCAACCCGTTGTCTCGGATCCGAGGGGTATCACAACTTCTGAAATACAGAACACTTTTGAATAGCGAAATAACTAAGTTACTCATTCTAATAAATTTGAAATGTCCAAAATAATCTCTCCTACATCTCTCTATATACAAATATTGTCAATATATACATAACCTGATTTATGTGTGTGTGTGTGTGTGTGTGTGTGTGTGTGTGTGTGTGTGTGTGTATCACATATGCATTCCATAGATCTAATGTATCAATGGGATTGCCGGAGCCTTGGGTTGAAATTGCATGTATATATACACAAATGTACGTTCCATGGTTCTCCAATGTACTAGGAGGGTGGTCACTGGAGCTCTGCGCAGGACTCGCCAAAGCCCTAGAATCAACAGTGCTGTAAAATCGCCCAAATCGTGCCAAACTTTTGTCAACAACACACCAAACTAAACTTCTTTGATCATCAATATGTATATCTATAAAGACCTCAGTATGATATATATGTGTGTGTGTGTGTGTGTGTGTAGAAGTTACATACCACACACACACACACACACACACACACACACACACACACACACACACACATATATATATTGACTCACATATATCGATCCGTGGCTAGAACATAGTGTGTTTTGCCGCCACCGCTCGAAACAAGATCGTCGTCAACCAACAATCCTCTGACTTCTTTGAGCCTTTTGCTTTCCCAAGTAGATTCAAACGAGATTTCAGATGGGATAAAGGAATTATATCAATCTACAAATCCGATTCAGTTAATTCCGGTGATACTACCACCACTTCCGCCTTAACCTCAGACCACGGTCTGATGATGCAAATGGATTGGGATTGATCTACGAGTTGCTCCTCTATTTATTTTTGCACAAATCAAGCATGGTGGTGGTGATAAGAGAGATGTGATACCATGCAATCACCAATGGGTGGAAAGGTGGTGGCGGCGGCTGTGGTTGAAAAAAAGTAGGCGGTCGTGGTTGAGGAAAAGTGGTGGCGGTATAAGGAGGGAGATGATGGTGGTGGCTGATGTGGTTGAGGAGATGGTGGCGACGGTTGTGGTTGAGGAAATGGTGGCGACGGTTGTGGTTGAAGAAATGGTGGTTGCGGATGTGGTTGAGGAGATCGGTGATGGTGGCGGTTGTAGTTGAAAGAGGTGGTGGTGGTTGAGGAGATGGTGGCGATAATATAAGAAATTTGATGGGTTTATGCGAAGACATGGCTACAACAAGTGCAACGCTGACCGTTGCTGCTACTTCAAGAGGTTTGAGACAAGTTATATCATCTTTTTACTTTATGTTGATGACATGTTAGCAGTTAGTTCTGATTTTGAAGAAATCAGTAAGTTGAAGAAGCAGTTATTAGGCAAGTTCGGGTTGAAAGATATTGGTGCAGCAAAACAGATTCTTGGGATGAGGATTAACAGAGACAAACAGAAAGGTATTTTGCAGTTGTATCAGGCTGAGTACGTTAAACAGGTTCTGAAAAGGTTCAACATGAGTAATACTAAAAAAGTGAGTTCACGTACCCTTAGCTAATCACTTCCGATTGTTCCAAGATCCGTGTCCGAAGATAGATGATGAAATGAACTTCATGGCTAAGATTCTGTATGCCTCAACCATTGGAAGTTTAATGTATGCCATGGTTTGCACGAGACCATGCATATGCAGTGGGAGCTGTAAGCAGATTTATGACGAATCCAGGAAAGCTACACTTGGAAGCATTGAAGTGGATATTGAGATATCTACGGGCCACAAATAGATGTCTATGTTTCAGAAAATGAGAGGTGAAGCTATAGGGTTATGTAGATTCAGACTTTGTTGGTGAAGTGGATCACAAAAGAAGAACTACCAGGTATGTTTTCATGGTAGGTATGACTACAATTAGTTAGGTTTCGTAGATACAAAAGATTATAGTGTTATCTACTACAGAAGTAGAGTGTGTTGCTATGACATAGGCCAATAAGGAGATGATCTGGTTACAGAGTTTGCTGGCAGAGTTGGGATTCAAGCAGGTGAATAATGTTTTGCACAATGATAATCAGAGTGTTGTACATCTGGCAAAGAATTCAACATTTCATTCGAGGACTAAGTATATAGGACTTTGGTATCACTTTATCAGATCTTTGTTGGAAGATGGGGTGTTGACACTTGAGAATATACTTAGCACCAAGAATTCGGCCGACATGTTAACCGATACAGTAATTACAGAAAAACTGAAGTTGTGCTCAACTTCAGTTGGTCTTCTAGCTTGAAGACAGTAATAAGCGTACCGTTATCACTAGAGTTGAGTTACTTGTGCAAAGTTCGTCAAGTGGGAGATTGTTACTGATGACTCACTTTATTAAGCTAATCCTAATTAGTTAAGCCAAAAGTTTGTTTCTCACCTAATTAATTAGGCCAAAAGTTTGTTTCTCACCTAATTAGTTACACCATTTTGCTTTGCCTATAAATAGATGGGCAAATGGAAAGAAAAGACACAATAACACACCATCGCGAAGAGGTGGAGAGCGTAGAGAAGAAGCAAAGCTCAGTAGCTCAGATTAGATCCGAGGAGTGAGAGATAAGAGAGAGAGAGAGAGAGAGAGAGAAAGAAAAAAAAAAAGAGAGAGAAATATAATGTGTGTATTTTTCAGAGAGTGAGCAAGAAAACACAGTATATTTTTCAGGAGTGAGAAAGAGATACACGGTGTATGTGTGTGTGGGATCTGCTGATACACGGTATATAGTTAATTTTTCGTGCGCGTCATGGACATAGGCAAAGTTGGCCGAACCATGTATAATTCTTATTTTGTGATTTTGTGCTTGTTATTGTGCGTATTGACGGCAAGATCCTAAAGAAATTAATTACGTCTAATTCCCTAATGCCCGCTAGTCCCACACTAAATTCCCACTCACAATGGAGAGTCGGGTGCCTTCAAAAGTATCTTATTTTAATACAAATTTCAAAATAAAAGTATTTTTGATCAGATTCACCCAATTTATTTGTACAGTGAGACTCAAACCCTACTTCTATATTTCTATTTTATGAAAACTGATAGAATATTTCAAAAAAAAATTCACTGGTGGACTAATTTTATTTTGTCAAAGGTGGAGTAGTTCTAGTCAATAGAGTGTAAAATCAAAAAGGGATTTTTTGTCATTTAAAGAAAATAATCATGATCATATTCCGTCTTTTATGGGTCAAGCTTTGCGAAGTTGTTTCGGATCAACCGATTGTTTCCGTTCAAAATTTTCCGCACGCAAAAGCTAGCCGCGCCATCCTATTGTCTAGATCAATCCAATCCATCCATTTCTCAATTCACACCAATCGAACGGCCCACATTAATCTACTAAAACCTTTTCTTTCTCCAAACCCTCACTAGTGCGTGTGGTCGTGCCTAATCTCTGTTTCAAAGGTTTGCTTATGCATTTCTCGATCTTCAATGTAGCTTCGAGCTTGCTAAGTTGTTACTGATTTGATCCGTCTTTTAATCGTAATTTTAACGCTGGTAGTTACTTAAACATTTTGAATTTGTTATTTCATCGACTGTAAGCATCTGTAACAAACAAGCATAAATATATATATATATATATAATGTGTATATACACTTACTCTTTTTATCTGAAATTTGGTATTTGGAATATTGGAGGCATCGTGCATACATATATGTGTCTGATACACACTTTGAGGCATTAATTGTTGTTCTATGTGGTTGGTGAATTATAATATGTTTGGGAACACCGGATCAACGACTATCATTTAAAATTGAAAGAAATTTAGTTAAAAATTTAAACTGAATTTCATCTAATTCCAAATTCAAAGCAGGTAAAATTTCATCAACTGCGAGAATAGTCGAAAATTGTGACCGGAGAGGATTTTGATAATGTATATACATGTATATACAATGTACATATATATTTTGTTACTCATCATGTGATCTAAAATCTGGATTTGAATTGTTTTAATTTGTTAAAAGAGGTGTTGCTATGGGGAAGAGCTACCAAGCTGTGAGCGAGGAATACAAGAAGGCTTTTGAGAAATGCAGGAGGAAGCTCGGAGGATTCATTGCTGAAAAGAAGTGTGCCCCATTTATGCTCCGTCTTGCGTATGTTCCGTCTCTAATTCTATGTAAAATTGTATATAAACAATATGTATGCTTATATATGTGTATAGAAGGTAGGTTGGCGAGAGTTCGATGGTGATGGTGCGTTGTGAGTGCAGATGGCACTCTGCTGGCACTTAATTGGGATGTGAACTCTAAGACCGGAGGTCCGTTCGGGACAATGAGGCAAAAGGCTGAGCAAGGTCATGCAGCCAACAACGGCCTAGAGATTGCTGTACATGGCAACATTTGTGTATGTGTTTATGAGTCTAGTTGGTTCAATTTCTTGTTTCCGATATTGAATTCTCAGTTGTTGATTACTTGTAACTATTTCATACAGTTGGCGGGAGTTGTTGCTGTTGAAATTACTGGTGGACCCGAGGTTCCATTCCACCCTGGTAGGGAGGTTGGTGAAGCATTGTCCAATTGTTTCTCTATTCTTAAGATTTTATATCCTTTCACATATGTAGTTTGAATGGGATTATAGCACAACAAAGTTGATTTCAAATATATAAGATAATAGCGTATTCAATATGATTACCATCTGTTTGGATGGTAAGAAAAGTTTGTGAAGAAATCAAAATCACAGAGAATCTTGAAAAAAAAGCTGACTTTATGATCTATTGACCCTCCCTATTCTCTCAGACTCTCACATTGAACTCTGATGCTGTGAAGCTTCTGGGACAATGCCAACTCTACGTGACCACCGACTATCTCACACAAGGACCAATTTTCTTGCCACTGTCGTTTTCTGACCAAACCAAACGTGAAGAAAGCTTTTGACTACAAGTTATTGCCATGGGAAGCTTTACGTGAATTGCTTGGCTGACTTGTTAAGAAGTCCTTTCGTGCTAATTTAGGTAGAAAACGAGTCCATTCTTTGACGTTTAGTCGACTCTGACAATCTTTATACTAAAAATATATGTAACTCCAACAAAAAAAAATGTAATCATTATCTCTAATTTGGATCCTTTGGTTTGTACTAGCGTCCGTATTAATCATATCTATCACGAATGATCGTATCACACATGTAAATGATTCTTGTAATAACAAATGATCCACTTTTGTAGAATATGTAGTTTTAGGAATGTAATCTTACCCATCTTATTTGATGAACTTGGTTAGGCTTGTGAAAGTTCTTGATTCTAGGCTTTTTTGGTGTGTGTTTAATGTCAATCTTGATTCAAGTGGAAACCACCTTAGTTTGAGCAGGCCAACGTAAGTAGGAAAAACTATATTTACATTCTGTTGCTTAGTTTAAAGATAGAATCACACACTGTTTGTTGTCATGTTGTGTAACTCGTTTTTTCACCATAAATATTTTACTAATAAAGTTTCAAGCTGGTCCCAAAAATTCGCTCCTATAGAAAGGGTCAAAGAATACACTCTGGTAAATTGGTAATAGTCTAGTGGGCCATCATATATCATTAACTATCACATGTATATTTGGTTCAAAATCTGGGAAAAAATAATAATAATAATAAGTAGCTAATAGGTTGCTTGATTGCCACCAAATACATATATATCCCTTTTGGATGAATGTTGGTTTCTTAAGTGACCTTTTGTATCAATTTTGACCCGGTCCCAATTTTGGGTACTTTGCGAATAGATGGATAATGTTTGGTGCTCATATTTGGTGTAAAGTAAGCAAAGGCTTTCACATTACTTTAAACGAGCTCGAATAAACATATTAGGACAAGATCATAAGGTTAAAACTTTCAATATAAAAAGTGAAGCATGTAGACTTATGGATTAAAGAAGTGTTAAGGGAAAGAGAGAGGAAGTTTTGCAACGTAGAACCTAAACATGTATAAAAAAGTGAAATCACAATGTTTTATTTAACTGAATTTATGATATAGAGCAGTGTGGGATCATAAATTTGTTTTAATGGGGCCGATTCTAAACAATAATGAGGCCTGTGGCCTCACAAGTACATAATAAAATTCATTATCTTCCTAAAAAAACATAGTTTTTTCATCGTATTATATCATGCATAGAGTTGTTAAAAATTTTGCTAACAAGGAATTAATGTGACTCGAACCATTTTTAATATTGACTTTAGGAATTCAGATCTTCACTATTTACTCACTCATTATGTATCCATATACAGGGATGGACCTAGAACATTAGGTGAGGGGGAGGGGCAAGAATGAAATCTTTTAATAATTTTAGGGGGTAATAGCAATATTTTATAGATATATAATGGAAAAAGAAAAAAATAGCAAGGCATATTAGTAAAAACAATATATATTTAGGGTTCCTGTTCATATACAAGCGCTACATCATATATATATATATATATATATATATATAAGTCACATAAAGCGAGTGTGAAAACAGGAATAAGTGCGAGAGCGGCAAAAATTTAAGTCAAGTTGGAATGAACTACAGCGAGAGTGTACGCGAAGAGCAAGAATGAGAGCAGCACGAAACGCAAAAAGGGCACCTGTTTAAAAGAACTATATGACTTAACATCATATATATATATATATATACACACACACACATACACACACGCGTATGCAATAAGGATTTTAAATTTATACTAAATCTTATATAAAAAAATACAACATATTATATCGTGTCCACTGCAAAACTTTTAAATAAAAATTTTAATACTAAATTATTGTGTTCTGCATTTAAAATTATTGTATGAACAATTGAATTTAAAATTAATTATGAGGCTGGAGATTTAAACGTAGACAGGACAAAAAGAGTGTATACCAAGAACTTGCATTATTATGTTATATTATATTCTATCATGAAAAAAAAAAAAAAAAAAAAAAAAAAAAAAAAAAAAAAATTATCTAAAACCAGTTGGAGAAGAAGACCGTTGAATAAATGGAAAGAATTAACTACCGTTGATCTGAGGCGGCTCAGCTAAAAGTCAACAAAATCTTTTTGAGTTGTGTCCAAACGCGTCCTAGCGCGTTTTTCTCATCTCCTTCTTCCTTCCTCGCACTTCTATAAACTCCATAGCTCTGAAAAGTCTCCTATAAATCTCCACTTTCTCATAGCTTCCTCTCTCCCTCATCACTAAACGAGTGACACACAAATTCTAGAGAGAGAAACACTTCATACATATATATACAAAGTTATATATATATATATATATATCACAGAGAGATTGATCTCTTCTTCAATCTATAGCTTCATAAACAGTGTGTTGGAGGGAGAAGTAGTTCGAGAGAGAGAGCTTATATACATACATATAGACAGAGATTGAAGCAATGGCTCACTTCAACAACAACAACGGCGGCGGTTACTCCGATTTTCCGGCGGTTCCGACTCACGGAGGGCAGTTCATTCAATACAACATTTTCGGCAATCAATTTGAGATCACGGCGAAGTACAGGCCTCCGATCATGCCAATTGGTCGCGGTGCTTATGGAATCGTCTGGTAATTGATCTCTTCAGGCTTTGTTACTGATTTGATTGTGGTTCGATATGGATGGATTTTATTGGTAGTGATAGGGTTCATCAGTACTGAGAAGTGAAATTCAAATTGATTTCTGTTGTATTCGTTTTGTTTTGTTATGAAGCTCGGTGATGAATTCCGAGACGAACGAGATGGTGGCGATCAAGAAGATCGCCAATGCTTTTGACAATTTCATGGACGCCAAGCGAACGCTTCGGGAGATTAAGCTTCTTCGACATTTGGATCACGAAAATGTAAGTATTTTGTTCTTGATTGCAAATTATCATCTGATATTCGTTGTTTGTGTGTGTGTGTGTGTATATATATATATATATTATATGTTTGATTGATTAATTACCGAATGATGGGAGAATTATCACAATTTCACTGATTCATTCATTGAATTTTGATTTCTTATAGTAGTATTTTAAGGTTTATACATATTTGTATATGAGAAAATTATATCCTATTAATCTTTTTATGAGAATTTCTTATAACAAATGATTAGTGCTTTCGGTTTCCTTCATCATTTAGGCAGAATTTTTATATAAATGGTCTCGTAAGTCAAAATTAAACATCAAAGCTCATTCAACGTCATGAAGTCCAAAGCTCTTTCAACACCACGAAAGTCCAAGAAAACTATTATGAAGATCAAAAGTCAGATTAATTTTTGTTTGAGTCTTTTTCTTCCCCAGTATTATTCTTAATGTGATTACATTCCTGCTAGAGTTTTTGGTTTTTGCTGCCAATGGACAACCCATCTCAATCAATCTTCTATAATTTTCTCTCATCTTCATCATTTTCGTCCCTTCACAAAATCAATTACTCCCTCCATCCTAATTTAAGTGTTGCTTATGAGGAGTAGTAATTTTTAAGGGGATATGTATTGTCTCTCTCAAAAGTCACTAACTTGTCCTTTTAAATTTTGAATAAGTTTGAAATTTTAAACTCAAATAATATATATGGAAAAATGTGAAATATATTGTTTAAAAAAGAAGAATGGATAATTATTTTGGGACAGACAAAAAAAGAAACCATGACACTTATTTTGGGACAGAGAGAGTATGATATTGAAGGTTTATGAGCCACATGTTAGCACAACAAAGTTGGAGTATATAGAAGTTAATATTTCATTTTTTACAATCTCCTTTTGAGCTCGAGTTAATTGATTTTCTGTGTTTCTAAAACAGATCATAGCCATTAAGGATGTAATTCCCCCACCGTTAAGGAGGGAATTTTCTGATGTCTACATTGCCATAGAACTCATGGACACTGATCTTCACCAAATCATTCGATCCAATCAAAGTTTGTCAGAGGAACACTGTCAGGTAAGATTGTTTACTATTGGAGTTCTGGATTTTATAACAACTCAACCTTCAATTTATAAGCTTGATTTTTCTGGGAAAGAACTGACATTTATTTATTTTTAATTGGGAAACTTGCAGTACTTCTTGTATCAGATTCTTCGAGGACTGAAATACATACATTCTGCACATGTCATTCACAGAGATTTGAAACCCAGCAACCTGTTGCTGAATGCCAATTGTGATTTGAAAATTTGTGATTTCGGCCTTGCTCGGCCTACTGCGGAGAACGAGTTCATGACAGAATATGTTGTCACCAGATGGTACAGGGCACCTGAGTTATTGTTAAACTCTTCAGATTACACTGGTGCCATAGATGTCTGGTCTGTGGGTTGCATCTATATGGAGCTTATGAACGGGAAACCCTTGTTTCCGGGTAAAGATCATGTGCATCAGATGCGCTTATTAACAGAGGTAAGATGACACTTTGAGCAAAAATTTGTTTCAACTTTGTAAACTTCAGTTTCTTTTTTTGTGTGTGTGGAAGTTTTCAGGGTCTAGTTTTTAGGCCAATGGCATTCCATTTGGTTAACAATAATCAGTGGCATTAGGCCAATGACATTCTAATTAGATCTAAGTTTTCTATATGGTAAAATTTCCAATTTTTCCCGACTGCTAGTATGATGAAATAAGGCCAGTGGCATTTCATTTGGTGAACAATACTTCAATTTCCATAAATTGACTCTAATTGATTCAAATTACCAAGGATGGTGAACAAGTAAAATTGTGCTACTATTGCTTATCATATCCCTTTCTTCTACACGATTATAGGATTGAATTATGAAGTTTTGCCCTATGTAGTGCTTGTCATTGGATGAATACTTACCGTATTCTTTTACATTTCTTAGCTTCTTGGGACACCAACTGAATCTGATCTTGGGTTTGCTCGGACTGATGATGCAAGAAGATATATCAGGCAACTTCCCCAGCATCCTCGCCAGGAGTTAGGGAAGGTTTTCCCGCATGTCCACCCGTTGGCCATTGACCTCATTGATAAAATGTTGACGCTTGATCCTGCAAAAAGAATTTCAGGTAACTAACTTATTTTGATGTCAGCTAGTTCAACCTACTTCGCTTGTAGGAGGCACACTTCAATTTTATTTGTTTGCCCGTAGTTATTTAAAGGAAAAATTGTTTGTGTGGTTGCAGTTGAAGAAGCATTAGCCCATCCATACCTTGCAAGATTACATGACACAGCTGATGAACCAATCTGCCCGGAGTCGTTCTCCTTCGATTTTGAACAGGCTGTGGGAGAGGAGCAGATGAAGGATATGATTTATCAGGAGGCCTTGCTACTCAATCCAGACTATGCATAATAATGCAAAGGCCACCATCCATGCCAGGTTTTCCATATATATTATATGCCCCGCATATATATTCTGGGATGGGCTAGTACTATTAATTTTATTTTATTTTATTTTTTGGGTTGGGCTAAATTTTTTTTTTTTGGGGGGGGGGGGAGTCCTCAAGTCCAGCGCCCCCCTTGTATCCGCCTGTTCTATTCTATAATTTCCGGCCCATAATCTTCCTAAACTATGTTTCTAGTGACTGCCTTCTAAACTATTAAACCATTTGCACTTTACCCCCTTATTTAACGAATAAGGGATGACAAACTGTGCAAATTTTTTTAGTAGTTTAGGGGATTAGCTGGAAAAAAAACATATACTACAGTTGAGGAGTGAATGTTCCACAAAATTATGTAGTATAGGTGTTCAAGTGTGCTTAATTGTTTAATTATTATATATCATTAATCCAGTTCAACCTGCCAGCTTGCAGCACAAAACCCTTGAGATTGTCCTGAGTGGGTTGGGTTTGATATACTAGCATTATCTATTTGTTGCTTCTGTTGATTGAGCGCTTATTGACTGCCCATGGGTGTAATGGGCCTCCAGACACTACACTTATATGGTCAGGTTCCTGCCAGTACTATTAGCTACATAACAACCTTCACATTTTCCTTTATTTTTTTATTGTTTCATTTTGTAAATTATTTTGGTGTGTTTTGAAACTAAATTGTTTCTCGTTTCCTTTTCTTCTTTAATGTACTACATACAATGTACAATGTACAATTTGCAATATGTGTTTGTTATAGAATTCTTGTTCTTCAATTTGTATATCTACACGTACTCGACTACAACAACAACTCAGCAAAATCTATTGCCACTAATTTTATATATTTTAAAGTGAGAGTTGACATTCAATAGTATTTTAGATGAAAGCCTCTACAATTTCTAATACAATCTCAAGACCAATTCCTCATGAATTTGGACGCTTCACTTTACTTCTATTCAGTTTCCTTTTTTTTCATGAGCCTATTAAGAATTGAAGTCTAGTGATATTTTTTTTTTTATCTTCCACGATGTCTCAAAGAGAATGACATCTTATTAGTGTTATAATCTTTTGTCTCAAGATAAGTTTCTTAATTGATCAATTCCTTCGCAATTGATCTGTCAATGATCAAGATGTGTCACACAGCTAAGAACCAATAAAATTGAAATGTGTGTGCACGCACAAAAGAGTATAATTCTTTGAATATTCCATGACTCGTCAAGAAAAAAGAAACAGACAATTTACAAAAAAAATAGTTAATATGCATCCTTGATGACATCATGAATTCATGTGGACCTAGCATCACTAATATTAAAAATTTGCAATCACAATACAATAATTTGTAGCTTTTCATTAAACAATTTCGACATGGACAGTAATTGTTTGTGCCGCAACCATTAATAATTTAGTAGACACCAAACCAAATCCCCAACACGAAACAAGTAGTCATGTCCACTACTACTAACACACACCACTTCTTGCCACACCCACAACCATCCCTTCCACATATCTTATTAATATTGCACTTCCACCAATTCCCCACTGTTGTCACATGAGAACATTGCTGGCATTGTGGCTCTAGTTGTTTTACAAAAATATTGTTTTTGTTTTAACAATTTATAAATCATGCTATTTATTCTGATATGATCTTCACCCTGTGTCCATAGTTTTTTCACGTAATTAACAAACTAGAGTAAGGAATACTACGTGCAAATAGTACCACTATAATTATGTATAATTGGCTTACCCCATTTCAAATAAAATAAATAATCAACCCTGTTTGTATGGGATAAAGGAAAGAATGATGATGATAATAATCGGCTTACAACTATCTTATTTCAAAAGCTTTGATCGGAGCCTATAGCCCGAAAGAAGGAACGAACATGTGCATTTTACAGGAGAGCAAAAGTTTCTACAAGAGCAGTTCCCATCCACATCAAACAGTCACTTTGGGCACATCAAAACGTTGCAACTATTTGTAAAAGCAACTTGCAAAATAATAGGACTGCGAAATTCACAGGTTAATTTGCGGTACCACAATTTGTGAAGGGTTAAGGACTTTTTTAAACTACAAGAATTAAAGAATTCACTAATACAATTTTTTTTTTTTTTGAAGACAACAACAGTATTTATAATCAGCCAGGGATTGTTACACATTGGGTCACTATGAATGAGTCATGATGATTGTTAGTCCAAAAGAATGATTTAGTTAATGGGAATCAGGAGGTGCAATGTTAGTGAACTTTGTACAGTCATACGGTCCAATCTGATTGTTTTTCCGTTTTACCTGAAAGCCATAGAAATTGTACGTGTCAGTTAAAAAATTGTAGTCAATGAATTTCCAATTACTCATATCCATACCAACAAAATTAACAAACAATGTTACTTGTTTCGTGTAAAAATTTATGTCTTAAGTATGAGATTTGGATGGTCACACTTAAAGCCAATTAAACTGAAATTATTTACAAAAGGCAAAACTGCCACAGCTACAGCTTATGCATTAAAAAAATTAAGAAAACTACATAACACAAGACAAATAGAAACCATGGGCCCATTTCAAGAAGGCACGAAAACTAAAGATTTTGAGGTTTTGGTCGGCCGCATAAATCTTATATTTTCATTCCGTTTTATCTAAGGCCAGAGATGAGAGTGTTCCTAAAAACTTGCACAGGTGTTTATGAGAGGTTTGTCATGCCATGTCAAGTGGGTGCACATGCTGAATTGTTAGAGAGAAATGGAACTGAATAAATTAAAAATTCGTGAGTTGGATAAAAGACAGGAAAAGAAATAGTAATTCACTTGATGCACGCATCGAGTTACATTTAAACAATGGCAAAACAGGACTTCTAAGACTAAGCAGCGCGCCATTATTGTTTACATATTCATGTGGAAAATCTATGTTAATTGCTTGGTGCGTCTAGTAACATTTTTGTTTTCTGTTTTTGCAGTCTTAAGAAAATAAAAACATAATTTTGCTTTCTTGAGTGAAAATAGAAAACAGAAATGATGTTTATTAACACTTATTGTTGTCACAAACTTGAAAACATAAAACAATAACTGTGTTTAGTAATACAACATGTTTGTTACAAAATGTACATAATATTCTTTAAATTTTTTAATTTATTTTTTATTCTTTTCATGGCAAGAATTTTAAGAGTTATTGATTAGAGGGGAGGGTAGATGACTTGAACATGAACTATCGCACACAGAGAGCAACCCAACCACTTACGCACGACACTTGCTTCCATTAATATCAAAAAGCCATAAATCTATAAAATCTAATTAAAAATTATAAATCTTAAAAATACCCAATACATCATAAGTACAAAATTAGATATACCAAGACAAAAACATTCCCACCAATTATATATATAAATACATATATATGCATGATGTATACATTTATTATGTGATATATAATATATATAATATATTTAGCATATGATAATTTATTATGAATAAAAAATATTAAATAATATATCTTATATGTAATAAAATATATATTGTGTTATAATATTATAAATTAATTATAATTTAATATTTACATATAATATAATATAGATATGATCTACAATAATATAAAATATCTATTGCTTAATAATTTAATAACATTATATTCTATATCAAAAATTATTTTGTCACAAAAAATAATTTTCATTATTATTTAATATATTATATATTAAAATATATTTTTATCAAATAGAAATAATATACAATATTTAATTTATTCTATATTAAAAATATATATTTTTATTAACATTTAATATGCAACTTAGTATATAACACAAATAATATGAATTTTATTTAAAATGAATAGTGCATGTGCAGTAATATTAGTTAAAATGTTTCTGCACTATAGTGTCGAAAACATAAGAAACATCATTTTGATGTTTTCTATTTTCTTCACAAAAATCACGTAGCTGTAGCAGGATTTGCAAAGTGGGGTTTTGTGCCTCTCCACGTTTGATTATTCTCTCGTTATAGAAAAACAAAAACATTTTATTGGCCGCGATTTTTGTTTTCGTTTTGCTTTTTAAGAGGTTGACAACAGAAAACAAGAAACGTTTCTCGTTACTAAACGCAGCCTTATTTTGATTCAAGTAACAGGTAGGCTCAAAATCAGCATGCTCAATCAATCAAGAATATTCTAAGACCCACATACTACCATAAAGGCAACAGAGTTCAAAGACAAATTAACTTTACCACTAATTTTGAAACACAAGCTAATGGACAGCAGTTCAGTATCAACTAATACTCCAAGCAAAACTAATAACCCTAATCGAAAGCAGGAACAAAGTGCAAAATTCAGATAAAGTAGTGCAGAAACAAGGATGAAGTTGAGGATTTCTCGATGAACTGAAACATTGTCAAAGCACATAGTGAAAGGTTTTTTCTTTTTCCTGAATATATAGTGTGAGTTTCTCTCACAGCTGAGGCCTGGTTTCAATGATCTTAACAATGTCAAGAGCTTAAGGCTTAATATGGCTAACCAGAAGACAACTACGTTATTCTCCTCACAGTAGGGGGTTCCAAGAATACTAATATTATGTTCCAGTTATTCCTCAAGTTCATTAGTCGACAAAAGCTAATGTCGTGCAAATAATGAGGTCAAATGCAAATTGAAATTAAAGCAAAATGTAGTACCTTGAACAATGAAAAATGAGATTCTAGAAAGTAGGGTCATACCGGGGACCATGGACCTGGTTCAGGAACAGATTTGTCAGGGGGAGAATGTTGTACAGCACCACTTTTCATGGTAAGAATGTCCTGCAGAAAACTCTCTATAAGATTGCATATCTCGGTATTTAACAATTGTATCAAAATAACAATGGTAATCGGGCATGCGAACAAATCTTATAACAAGGTTAATCCTCCAGAAAGTTTCTCAGGCTCAGGGTGGACTATCAGTCCGTTCGATATTTGGTTCAGATCTAATTATTCCCCTCCAAATCTGTTTATAAGTGACCAGGTTCAACTTTACTTTCTGGGATTCAATCCCATCACTTCCTCAAACTGTAAAGGGATTAGACCAAAAAGCACCACTTTAATAATAGAATAAATATTTAACAGGACTCAAAATAGCAGGAATAATTGAGTCTGCAAGTTACGTTAAGGGTGTCATCAGTGCCATAGGCATCCAACCTAACTACCCAAACCATTGCCACTCCTAGATGCCATGCATCTGTTTCCGAATACACCCTATAGTATTCAAAAGAACTCAAGAACAGAGCATCCAAGATGGAAGTGTTATGCAACAGAGTTGGATTCTCATAGATATACCTCTCCAGCAGCTTCCATAGCAGCCAACCATTCATCAGAAAATGGAATTGCATTTGCTGGAGGTTTTATCATAAGATTGCCTCTCTTTGCACCATTCTCAGAATTTTTGCTGCATTAAGGAGAGTCAGATTAAAACTTACCCAGAGTTTAGAAGCTTATCAAAGTTTGACTAAAAAGATATGGAATGAGCCAAAAACACAAACACGGCACAAACCCAAAGGCGTTTTCAAATTTTATATACACTTACATTGGCTTTGTTGCATCGTCGTCTTCTGTGAGACAAATGACATTGTCCAGCTTTTGATACAGTTCACCCGCAGGACTAACAATGTTCTGAGGACTTTTAACTTCATTTTCATCTGGCAAGATACACTTAATACCATCAACTCCTATACCCAGTATGCTACTTTCATTTGACGTTGTCCTAAAACCTGATTCGTTGCTCGAAGAATAAACTGCCTTGTAAGTAGTGACCACATCTGTAGACTGAGCTTTGCTTGTCTTCAAAGCTATATTGGATTCCGAAGATGTAGCTTGGCCACAGAGATCAATGCCATACATGAACTGTGAATCCATAAAGGAATATTTATGATTTTCAGCCGAAGGCTCAATGTCTACAGGACATGATTGTGCATCCTCCGCATGTGGTTGGTCATCCAACTTTTCAACCTCGGTGGCATCATCTTGCATTGTTGGTGATACCTGATCTACAACATTAGGAATTTTTGATTCACTTCCATGAGCATCACTTTGCAAAGAATATTTATGATTTTCAGCCAATGGCTCAATGTCTACAGGACATGTTTGTGCATCCTCCACATGTGAGTGCTCGTCCAACTTTTCAACCTCAGTGGCATCATCTTGCATTGCTGGTGATACCTTATCAACAACATTAGGACTTTTTGATTCATTTCCATGAGCATCACTTTGTTCAGGAACAACATATTGGACACAATCAGGAACATTGTCCTCCAGCAGTTCTTCAGAACCAGTGCTTTTCTCAAGCAATAAGTAATCTCTGAAATGCAATTTATGATTATCCAGGGAAACACATTCATTTCCAATGCAAGGATCTTGCAACATCAGTTGTTCAGCAGATTCTTCATTTACACCAGAACCTACCAGTTCATTGACAGGGCAAACAATGTCCTGAGAAATTTTGACTTCAGATTCATCTGGCAAGGTACATTTAATCCTGTCAACTCCAGCAGCCAGTGTGCCATTTTCATTTGAAAACATCTGGACCAATAACCCTGATTCCTCATTCAAAATACTGATCACATCTGTGGTCTCAGTTTTATCGGTCCTCAAAGCTAAATCAGATTCAGATATAGACCTACCACAGAGTTCCATGTCATGACTGAACTGTACATCGATAAAGGCACACTTATGATTTTCAACTGAAGGTTCAATCTCTGTAGAAGCTATTGATGCATCCTCAACATGTGGGTGCTCATCCATATTTTCCATCCCAGCACCACTATCTTGTATTGCTGGTGATACATGAGCAACAACCTCAGAACGTTCTGATTCACTTCCAAAAGCATCAATTCGATCTGGAACAACATATTCAACATTCTCAGGAACTTTTTCCTCCTGCAATTCTTCAGAATTAGTGCTTTCTCCAAGCAGTACGTAATCATTGAAATGTAATCCATGATTATCCTGGGAAACACATTCATTTCCAATGCAGGGATCTTGCAACATCAGTTGCTCAGCAGATTCTTCATTTACACCAGAGACTACCAGTTCATTGACAGGACTAACAATGTCCTGAGAAATTTTGACTTCAGTTTCATCTGGCAATGTACATTTAATCCTGTCAACTCCAGCAGCCATTATGCCACTTTCATTTGACAACATCTGGACCAATAAACCTGATTCCTCATTCAAAGTACTGACCACATCTGCAGTCTCAGTTTCATCAGTCCTCAAAGCTAAATCAGATTCAGAAGATGAAGACCTACCACAGAGTTCCATGTCATGACTGAACTGTTCATCGATAAAGGCATACTTATGATTTTCAGCTGAAGGTTCAGTCTCTGTAGAAGCTATTGATGCATCCTCAACATGTGGGTGCTCATCCATTTTTTCCACCCCAGCACCACTATCTTGTATTGCTGGTGATACATGAGCAACAACCTTAGAACGTTCTGATTCACTTCCAAAAGCATCAATTCGATCGGGAACAACATATTCAACATTCTCAGGAACTTTTTCCTCTTGCAATTCTTCAGAATTAGTGCTTTCTCTAAGCAGTATGTAATCATTGAAATGTAATCCACGATTATCCTGGGAAACACATTCATCTACTATGCAAGGATTTTGCAGCATCAGTTGTTCACCAGATAGTTCATTTGCATCAGCAACAACCAGTTTGCCTATAGGACTAACAATGTTTTGCGAAATTTTGACTTCAATTTCATCTGGCATTATATGCTTACTCACATCAACTCCTATATTCAGTATGCTACTTTCATTTGATAATGCCTGGACCAATAAACCCGATTCTTCAGTTAAAGAACAAAATTCCTTGTGAGCAGTGATCACACCTGTAGTCTGAGCTTTGCTCGTACTCAAAGCTGAATCGCATTCAGAAGATGTAGCTTGATCACAGAACTTGACATCATGCCTGAACTGTGCATCGATAGAGGCATTCTTATGATTTTCAGCTGAAGACTTGATCTCTACAGAACCTGATGGTGCATCCGAATGTGGGTGCTCATCCATTTTTTCCACCCCAGCACCAACATCTTGTTTTGCTGGTGACACCTGTGCAACAACAGTAAAACATTGTGATTCACTTCCATAAACATCAAGTTGTTGCGGAACAAGATATTCGACACTCTCAAGAACATTTCCCTCCAGACATTCTTCAAAACTAGTGCCTTTTCCAAGCAATAATAAATCATTAGAATGCAATACCTGATTACCCTCAAAAACACATTCATCTACAACATGAGGATCTTGCAACTTCAGTTGTTCACCAATTTGTTCATTTGCATCATCGACAAACATTATATGTGGAGTTTGCACAGCTGAAGTACTCAGGCCACTGTTGCAGCTTCCAACTAATAGATTGCTGTCTAAGTACATTTTTGCATCTCCCACATGTGATTTATTGGTCATGTTATCTGCTCCAGCTTCACCTTCATTTGTGTAAACTGTGTTTTTAAGGTGAGATGGATTGTAAGAGCTTAATTCACTTCCAGTAGAACCTTGGACTACTGGACTGACATCTGCATTATCTTTGAGATCTCCAGTCCGGGACTTTTTGAAAGATCTGTTCTCTTCAAAGAAAATGCCATCATTTGTCTTTATTTTCTGATTGTCCTCATGAGGATTGTCAGAAAAACAATTAGTTTCAGCTTCCTCTACAGCAATAGTACTCTCCAGTCCACTGCCTCTTAGAATCTCTATGATACTACTTCCATTTAATGATGTCTGAGCACTTGGAACTAATGATCCCAATTCTTTGCTATCCGCAGGAGTACTAATAACAGAATCTGTTGTATGATCTCTGCTCATCTTCAAAGATGAATCAAATTCCGAAGTAGCTTCGCTTCTAAGCTTGATGTAATGCCTGAACCGTGTATCAATGGAACCATCATGAATTTCAACTGAAGGAACCATCTCCTCAGTACCTGACACTGCTGCCTCCACATGTGGCTGCTCAATGATTTCGTCCGCATCAACAGCCCCATCTTGCATGGCACCTGGTTCCTGATTAAGAAAAACATTTGATCCTTTCATCTCTGTTCCACAATCATCGTTTCTTTCTAAAACAACATATAAAGCACACTCAAGATCATTTACCTCCAAATATTCTTCAGAAGAGATGTTTTCTGCAAGCAATAAGCAACCATCCGAACGGAATCCATGGCTGGACTGGGAAGTTTGTTCAACAATGCCACAAGAACTTTGAGGTTCTGGATGCTCTCCAGATTGTTCATAAACATCATCAACAATTAGATGGGGAGTATGCACAGCCGGAGTATTCAAGTTACTGTTGCAGCTTTCATCTAATAGAGTGCCATCCAAGAACTGCATTTGTACAACTTCCGCATGTTTTTTAGTCAAGTTACTGAATCCAGCGGCATCTTTATTTGCTTCTTCTACGGTTTGGTGCTGAGATGGACCATAAGAACATTCCATTATACTTCCACTTGAAGGCTGGGTGTTTGGATTGGCATCTAGAAAGTCTCCACTGTTGTGTTTCTGTGACTGCTCAAACGGTTTAATGTCCTCAAACAAAATGCCGCCATTTGTCTTCAGACTGTAATTCTCCCCATGGGAGATTTGATCAGCCTTGTGAGCAGAAGGATTTATCAATTCAGCTTGATCCCCAGACTGTTCATTTACGTAATGAGTATTTCTTAAACAATCATTATGCATTGTTGAAGAATCCTGCTCGATAACACTAATGCCATTTCCACACTGAGATTCCAATATGACTCCCTGATTTTTTATTAAAGAACTGCATTCTTTCTCTTCTATGTGCTGGTGCTCAACTATATCACTCGTTGCGAGTTGAGTTGTAGATCTGGGATTTACCAAGCCACACCCATTACGGTCCTCACATTCTGGAAAAACAATTGTCACATTCTTATAATTATTCTCTCTTTTAAAGTGATCGCTGATTCCACTTTGTGAAAGCAACTCATTATCATTCGTCTGCCTTTTTGCAGCCTCACTGTAAGAAATCTGTTCCACTTTATCAGGTTCTGCATGTCCCTGAAATCTTTTGTCAGCATCAATAATGGTACGCAGCTCTTCATTACTTTTTACCACTTCAGGACTCTTAGGATCACATGCAACCTTTATCATCTGCGCTTTATTTACAGCACATGGAACAGCACAATCCATACTGGACCGTAAGGCCCCAACATTTCCACTTGCTGCAGCGTCAATGACCACTTCGGGCATTTTTCCTGGAGCATGTGGCGGCCTCAGCTCACGCAAATAATTTGAGGCACCAAGTTTAGGCAAATTAGGAATACTAGACTCAGGAAGATTGCAGGATTGAGTTGTTCTCTGAGATAAGCTGTGTGAAGTGGATGATTTTGGCTGCAAATTGACAAAATGACAGAATAAAGCATCCATATACATGGTTTAAAGCACGAGAAAATATTCCAATCATCTTATTAAATTGTTCATGGGATTCAATTGGGTGATCATACAGTCATACCTGACCAAAGAATCCTAGTGAGGGCGATGGCATCCTCAAGCCTGAGGGTTTTGATGATGGCATCCTCAAGCCTGAAGGTTTTGTTGTTTGCAAACTGTGAGTATTTTGAGGGAAAGATAATCCAGTTTTTCTAGATACATCATGACCATCTAATGCATGCATTCCAGTAGCCAAGCGTACTGGATCTTGAGTCACCACTAAACCAACATTAGTTTTGCTAACCAATGCAGGCAGTGGATTAGTTGATGAATGTAATTTTGAAGGTGAGTTTGCCTGCATTTTAAAGGAGAGAAAAGTAAAATAAATGGAGACAAGCATATATCAAAAAATTTCTACTATAGTAACTTACATAAACTAACAGTTTTGAACAAGCACTAGATTCTTACTTTATTTCTTCTGGGACGTTGAATTGATGATTTTGCAGATAAACAACCAGGACCAGATTTTGTTTTATTTGGGGCATCTTTGGTGTTTTTAGAGAAGCCCCTCAATCCAGCAATAGCCTGAATGTTATCTGCTTAATAAGAAATAAGATATAAACGGAAACACATCAATTTTATCAGATGCAGACAAGACTATTTGAGTGAGGGGGGGAAATAAATAAAAAATAAAAAAAAACAGATTTAGAGGCTTTTGAGAATTTTACAACGATAACCTGGTTGAGCAAACCAATAACAATTTGAATGCATCCATTTCATCTGATGCAGATAATAAGGTTGATACAACAGAAGTTTTAAATATATGCCACAAATATACAAAGAGTACCTGATTGGGAAATCTGATTATGCTTTGTGTAACTTGCACCCAGCACGGTACTCTTAGTGGTTGTAGGAAGTGAAGGACCTGGCTTTGAAACTGGTAATTTAGGAATCTTTGATTCTTTCATCGCAGATTTTTTTGTGCTTGCATTTGCAGGCCTTTTTAAAGTAAAAAAACATTAAGGCTCATCACTAGTAAAATTCCAATAGATTGAAAAACGATATGGTAGCTCAAAGAGCCTTTATGAAAAACCATCACATGCACTATAAAAATATCAAATCAAACCAATAGAAAGGATATGAAGGTGAAGCCACAGGCCGTGGACAAACACCGCCCTTAGGCCCAGTTCTGCTACTGTTTTTCAGAAGCACTTTTGGGGTGGCCTGGAAGCATATTTTTAACAATGAAACAGTAAGTTACTCTACACCTGTACAAAAAAAAAAATTATGTTTAAGCTTCACGTAAAGTTCATGAACTAACCACAGAGGTTGAAGCTACAGTATCTCGAGCTGATGAATTATGCTTCAGCAATGAACTGCCACCATTCACTCTATCTTCATTTAGAGAAGATGCAGAAATTTCTTTATATAAATCTTCTTCTAGTGCCGCTGAATCAATAGTACATTCAGAATCACCAGATGATGACTTTCTGCCTTCTTCATGTATGACTGGCAAGACCTCCCCATTGGAGTTGCCAAAATTCCCACCAAGCAAAGATAATTCTAAGGGATCCAAGACACCTGAGAAAAGAACGGTGCATGTGTGTCCTTAATGAATATTTAAAACAAAATCAAGATTTGAGTGTGTGTGAGTGTTTATGTATATAAAGAAAATTATAAAAACCTTCCTCAGTGAAGAAAGCTCTGTCCCATGCTAGGCTTTTTCTCAAATTGTATCCTCCGCCCTTTTTCCTTCTCTTCATCTGCTGTGGCTCCACACTTAATTTTGGCACTTCTGATTTACTCATATTTATATTCTCTTTGTTGTTGCTATCTCTAGGAGATGAACAACTAGGTTTTGCTACAACCGCACCACCCTTCAAAACCTCTGCAATGCAATAGTGTATGTCAATTATCATATCTTCACATGAATTACCAAGGCATTGTTCAATTAGCTTTTAGAAGTAAAACTCTAGCTACTCAAAGCCAAAATTCCTTTAATTTGGCTCCTAAAACAGCAAAAGTACTTCCAAAAAAGCACCTGATATTTAGCAGTTTCTTTTACAGAATTTCCAATTTTCCATTTTGAAGCATTGCTTTAAGAGTTCTAATTTATCATTTTCCCCATTAAAGGTGTTATCTGAGTAAACCAACTGGCAACTGCCAAATCCAAACTTATAAGTATAATAGAGTCACAAATACATCGTCATCCTAAATTGGAGAAAGTCCAAACATTTAGAAAGCTTAAAGAAATATTTTCAAATATTATTCTTATCCACTTGAATCAACAATGAAATGAGACTCTGAATACCAATCAATTTAAGCAGGGTCAATTTCGGGAGCAAAATAAGGTACAAAATAGCAAATCCTGAGTACTTTCTATTATTCAAATTAAACAGATTTTAAACCCAATAAAACAAAACTGATGACAGCAATCACACATAGAGAACCATTTTTGGACATAAATTCAACCCAACAGAACCTTTTTCCAACCATTTGGGGTTGCCTATATTAACTCTTCTATATGATGTCATAACCTCAATCAAAACACAGACTATCAAATATTTCCTTTCTATCTCGATCCATATTAGTTTTAGTTCATCGCCCTAACAACACCCTCAATATGGACCACCACATCACTCTTCCTTATTAGTTTATTGGTCTTGTTTGCACATAACTAAACCATCTTAATCAATTTTATCTCATTTTATTTACAACATATGCTACTTCATGTGTTCATCCTTAAGTTTATCATTTTCTTGCCTTTGTGAAGGATTTAGACTAGATCATGGAAGCCTAAATTTTAGGTATCTCTTGTTCCTCAATCTTCACTACATCAGTACATCATCATTTAAGTTTCTAGTTTTGCTAGAGCTGGATCCATGTATTCATAAACTAGTTCTGCTTAACTTAAACCCTTTTAATTCTAGAGCTTCTCTCCAAGCCTCTAATTTAGAACCTATTCATACTTTAATTTCATTAGTTAAAGCAATACCACTGTATATAATATATACCATGGAACCCAATCCTAAATGTATTTTGTCAGCTAATTCATAAGGCGTAAATAAATAGATTTAATGTTAATACTTGATGTAAGCCTAAAGTAATTGAGAATTCACTTGAGTCTCCCATAGTTACTCTAATTGTATCACAGATGTTCTTGATCATGTCAATATATTTCTTTGCGACTCATTTCTTTTCTAAACCCATCATTATATATATCTAGGGACCTTGTATAGGCATTCTCCAAATGAATATGTATTGTATAAAGATCTTTCTTTGTCTCTCTATATCTTTCGATTTAGTCGTCTTAGTAAAAAGATAACTTCAACAGTTAATATCCCCGAGCATAAATCTAAATTAATTTTTTGCTACTGTAGCTTTACATCTTAGTTGTTGTTCAATCACTCTCTTCAAAGATCCATATTATGTCTCTCATTAATTTATTTTTCCGATAACTTGAACAACATTGAATGTCCTCTTTCTTTTTATATATAAGTACTAAAATACATTTACACCACCCATCTAGCATTTTTTGGTTATTACTATCTTATTGAATAACTTTGTCAGTCACTTACCCTGGAAAATAATTTAAAATAATATATATATATATATATTTGTTAGTGAAGACACACTATAATTTTCTAAACACTTTCAAGTCTCAATGGCAATGTCATTTGGTGCTAAAATCCTTCCTATTTTCATCCAGCTCAATGCATTTTTGACCTTGCACGCACTGATCCTGTGATAAATTTTATTTTCTAAATCTCTCTAAAGGTTACTATATTCTTCTAAACCTAAACTTCCTATATAAATTATACTTTGTATTTAACAACTAGGACCACTATTGCATGTAGAAAGGACAAAATTAGAAGAACTCAGTCTCAAAACAAAGAATAGCTAAACCCTAGAAAACCAGATACTAACCGCACAAAATGCAAACCACAGTTAGAGGAGAAATATGAGGTCGATAACTGTAGATCTGACAGATATATTGAAACATACAGAGAAACAGAAACCAAACCTCTAGAAATCTACATCAATCAGAGAGAACCACGGGTTGCTAGTATTTGATGTGCTCGTGTGCGCACTGGTTTGTGTGAACAGAACAGGATCCAAACTTGAGTTCCAAATCTTATAGAGCAATCAAATACCGGAGCACAAAGAATTGTGTAATTAGATCACACTCCGAGTGAAATTAATCAAACAAACCGATCCCTAAAGAGTATAATCAATTAACTAACAAGTCTAATATACAGAAAAAAAAAAAAAAAAAAAAAAAAAAAAAAGCAAATCAATCAAAGCAATCACAGATCCTAAAATCAAACTGTAAAGACTAAACCCTAAAAAGACTTACCAGTGGAGCGATTGTAATTACGAAATTGAAAAGGTGAGGACGAGAAATAGGTGGTGGTGGTGGTGTCATCCAGCCTCATATGTTCGACCAGAGAATCGTCTTCGCCGGCGATTTCTATCAGCGGCAGATCCGATTCCATTTTCTCTATCTACAAATTCAACTTGAATGTGGATACAGATTCGTATGAGTTGTTACATAGATCTGGTTCTGGGTTTTGTTTTAATGTGTATTTTCAAAACATTTGCAAGCGGGAAAGGAAGCTTAGACAAGGATGCGCGTGACGTTGTGATACACTTGCCTATGCGTATATAATTAGTATTTGTCTAATCGTGAGACCTACAGAGAGGGTTATTGTAATAAAATAAATAGGTCACGCAGCCAAAATGGTACTGGCTTTAGAAAGTTACTGTATTTATTTAAAAAATATATTTCTGTGAATTTTTTACAATTTACTAAAAAAATTAAGGAATTTAGGTAATATTAGTGTGTTATTTTATCATTTTGTTCTCTAAAAAAAATTTTAATTATTTGGAACAGTCTGTTTAATAATTTTACTTTATGTAAGATTATAGATTAGGTGGCTCTTGTATATTCTTTAATTATCTCAATTTATTGTAATTTTTAGTTTGGGTAGGACTCTCACGTTTAAACGTACTCGATTTCAGTTAACTCAGTAAAATAAGCACAGCATGTATCACTTGGAAGCCTTATTTATTTTCTTTTCAAACAAAAATGAAATTTATTCTGTCTGTTTGAATCGGCCCCACCTAATTTTTCCATTAGACTCTGCTTTTTCTTTTCCATTCTTACGATTGGGTAAATATCACCCACTTAGTCACTTTATAATGAGTGAAACTTGTCCACCCCTTTTCCATGTATTTTTTATTTTGTATTAAAATTAAAATCAAATTTATTTATCAAAAAAAAAAATTAAAATCAAATTTCAAACAAAATAAATATTAAAAACAATTACATACAGCAATATTTCGTTAGAACTTAGAATCCACCATTATCCAAACACACGTTACGCACATGTATGAATATTATCATATTATCAGGGTGTCAAATGAAAATTAATTAAGGAGATGAAAATAAATAAATAACAGAAACTTCAATATTCTGACCATCATTACCGGATTAGCCATGTAAGTAGACAATTGAGGTCGCTCATTCAGTGGCTAAACTATCTCAAAGTCACATCACTGAGGATCCTGCCTCCGTGCTTATCCCCTGAGATATTCTCCGTCTGGCTGAGTTTGATATGTGTAGATATAGGGGCATATCCTAACTCTGTGTTTATAGCTTTCTTGATGTCTTCTTTGTGCTTTGCCAGGCCAGAAAACGAAAAAAAAAAAAAAAAAAAACAGATCAAGGAATAGAAAAAAAACATGATGTTCCCTTAAACTCATAAAATGGTGATCCCATGCGTTTGGAAGCATAAAATGAACACCTTGAAATTGAAACCGAAGAAATTTTAAGTCGAACTTTAAACTAGTTGTAGTCTAGTTCTAGTTCCAATTCCAAGACACTGATTCTATGCTACCTGGTATAGCTAGACTAGTTTTATAAAGCATGAAAATGAAAAAGAAACTGCAAGTAAGAAGGAAAAAAGAAGCAACAGTTTTTGCTCACTGCCAAGTTACACAAAACACTAGCTAATGTTGCACTCTGTGGAATTTTCTGTAACACCCTCCTCAAAAGAGGGACCATCATCCGAAAATCCTAAAACACAAGCCGCTGCTTCGTCTTCTTCCTCACTCTCGACAGCAGCTCTGTCATATCTTCTTTCCATATAAACCTGTGCTTGCCTCCTATGCAGCCTCAAAACATGCATGATAACATCAGGGGTGAGCGTTACCCGTGAACGGTCCTCCCTTGCTAGCCTATTAGCCTCCATAATCTGGTTGTAAACAAGCAAAATGTAAATAAAACTTCAATTATATATAATTAAGTGCATCATTTGGTCTCTGTGACCAGCCCCAAAAACAATCCATTAACTAATAAGCAAAAACATTAAGGTAGTATGTACCTCGTCTGCATCTTGAGGCAGTGGAAGAACATCATTTGACATAGGAGCCCAGAGTTTAACATTATTTTCTATTCCACAGGTAGCAAGAACAGGCATATATGGATGAGGCTCAAGATGATTTACAATGTTCTCATCACCTACCATTAGACGCACAAGTTCAGCTCCCTTCTTCTTCCAAATAAATATATGACCACAATCGGATCCGCTCATAATGTATTCATCATTGGGACCAAAGAAGCTCACTCCTTTAACCGTTTGTGAATTCCTATGGCCCACGTAAACTTGTGGATCTTCCAGTTTCTGTAAATCTTCATGTGAGAGAGAGGATGGAGCAGGACCCAATCCCATGTTCTTCTGGAACAAGTAAATGAGTTCGTCATTGTAAGAGACGAGCAGTTCACTTGTGTTAGAGTATGCCAATCCCGTGATGTGAACGTCAGGATTCTGAATCGAGTGACGAGGGTAAAATGTGTTTACAGGTCTGCCTAAATTACTTGATGAATCCCATTGGTATTTTCTGATGTCATAGACCCGAGCATACTCATCAGAACCAGCAACAGCAAAATAATTAGGATTTCTTGGGTCAATGACAATGTCATTCAACGTGACTGGGCCCGAAGACAGCTCATTTTCTGTGAAAGAGGAGCAACAGAAAAGCTTCGTAGCTGAGTTACTTCGCAGATCATACTGCAAAAGACAGACATCCGTAAACTAAAATGGAAGTAGGAATAGTCATATACAACGAAGACGCTATGTATTTGACATACGCGTTGAACAAAACCATCCTCGCCACAGCTATACAATATGTGGGGACTCCCTGGCTCCACAGCAAGCTTATATACACGACCTCGGTGCCTCCCAATCCTTTTTGTTTCAACTTCGCCATTCTCCAGAACCTGGCCAAGCCTAACCTACAAGGTGGAACGTTCACGATGAAAGTTCATAGAAGATACCCTAATCCATACAAAAGTGACGAGTTTATTCACAGCTTATTGTCCAAATTTGTAACCAAACCAGGAGCATAGATGAAATGTCAAAATAATAGTCTAAGCACATTAAGTACGAAGGTATAAGATTAATCAACTAAAGTTGGGAGAACAAAAAGGCTCTGAAATAACTTCCTAATTTAAATCAAAGAAATTGTACTAGATCGACACTTTCACTGCACATCAAAATATATAATAGTGAGAGATATTATTCAAAAGAGTATATCAAAGAGGAGCAAATAATATATGCATAAATTCACCTGGCCATCAGCAGCACAAGTTACTATTTTTCGATCATCAGTGAAGGGTAGGATTCTTGTATGGAATATGTTATCTAAGTGGCCAGAAGGATATGACAATTTCAATGCTTTCATTGCCCAATTCCAAAACATAACTTGTTTGTCATCGGAACCTGACACGAGAAGGTCGCCTGTGGAGTTGAATTCCACTGTGTTTACACAATCCGCATGACCATTTAATTCCCCATATAGATCAATTCGTTTCACAATGCCCTGTAACAAAAGGAACATAAAAAGTACAATCACCTAGTTTTATAGTTAATTGCAACAATACAAAACCAAAGTGGCAAATTTTGTTGGTATTTGCCAATTACAGACACTCCTGACAAAGTGAATTGCCATGGAAATTGGATTTCCAATGGAAAATCATATTGCCCATTATATTTGTATTAACATCATACGTAAAAATTCAACATATAGAAATGGATACATTGCCCTCAAAATAAATAAATAAAAGGCAGCCAATTGACACCAATAACAGTGAAACTTTTGAAAAGGAATACCCAAGTGACCATTATTTGCATATAGCATTATTGAAAAATGTAACATCATAGATGGGTCCATTACAAAAAAATTAATAGCAACCAACACATAATGGTGAAACTTTAAGTTGGGAACTTTCATGATATAGTTGAAAACTAATTCCATATACTTGTGAGTTGTGGAAAAAATATCACCTTTATTTTTTTTTTTTTTATTTCCCCAAGAGGCCAATCCCAATAATAAATTTATTTTGCACACAATAAAACTACTGGAACAATCAAACTTGCCCTAAAAGTATAAAAAATAATGAATACTTGATGTCCACCCATCAGATACTTCTTTTTCAAACCAATTCAGTTCATCAAAACTCCCTTCTTTCACATGAAACATTCAATCACAATCAAAATGTATGTACATGACATAGCATAATAAAAACTAGGTATATACACAGAATTACACTTCTATTGTTGAAAAAATAGCAAATTAATCAGTTGAATTTTACAATTTCAACTCCAACTACCTCTGATAATTAAGAAGCATATATGCTTGTGTGTGAACATATGTATATATACATATATAAGAAAGCGAAAGAGCGAGAGAGGGAGTACAAAACCTCTGAAGCAGATAATTGGCGAGCGAAGGTTCGAGGCTGCGATAAACCCATCTCCCTCCTGCAAATACCCAAGAAACCATATCCAGAACCCCTATAAATAGTCTCCATTTTAGCATAATTTTAACTGAACTTTCATAGCCCAATCTCTCTCTCTCTCTCTCTCTCTCTCTCTCTCTCTATATATATATATATATATATATATATATGTTATACACATACGCGGGCCACGATGGGAGTGTTTACTTGGGCCTGTTTTAGTCATTTTGATGGGCAAAAATCGTCTCCTGGGCACCTCTCTGGTCCATTGAGGATCCAATGGCTGGGATGAAGCCATGTCAGCAATAACTTTATACTTTACTTTTTTTTACCATGTACGAATGCTACAAACAATATACATACATACTTACCATATACGAATACAATATACCAAAACCATCCTCACCACCGGTCCTCCTGCACCACCACCGCAACGGCCGGGATCACCACCGTCCATTCTCTCTCTCAGGAACTCCGGTTCGTCCTTGCTCCTCTCTCTCTCTCTACCCTTACTCCATCGTCATATACACACAGATACATATATACACAGACACATATACACATACATTACACGCAGGTCTGACTCCGGCGAGCTGCCAACGGCGATCTCAAATAAAGAACGCAGAATCATATTTCTTAAGGTTGAGCTGCGAAGACCCTGTAATTTATGTTTTTGGTTTGTGCAGTTCCTAATTTAGATTGTAAGGTGTAGCTGGAAATCATTTGGAATTTTAGATCTACTCGTTGATTTGTATTTCACAGATTATTGATATATAAAAAATAAAAATAAAAAATAGCCAAAAGATCATTATTTGATAGTGGAATTAGTGATTTTCTTAGATACACAGGCCAAAGTTGGAGTTCTAGACTGTTTTGTTGATGGGTTTTGCTTAGATTTTGATTCAGAAATAGGAGCTGAGCTGTTGAAAAAAATCTTTGTTGTTGTGACTTTGAGAAAAGGATGGTAGTTTTTTGAGTTTTGGATTGTTTTTGTTGATGGGTTTTGCTAGATATCAATCACACCTTGAAGTGGTCTAGTTACAGAGTAATTGTGGCTGAGGAAGTTGGTGTTGGGAATGGAGGAACAAACAATTTTTGGTGTTGGTCCTTCTGCGAAATTGGCTAGGGAAGTGAAATTAGAAGTAGTGAAGAAGAGTTTCGGAGCTGTTGTGAAGATGAGGATGAATTGAAGGAGAGCTGGCCGGATCTGTCTCAACCGCCATCTCCATCTTCGCCGGCTCCAGAGATCATCACAGCCGGCCGAACCAGTGATCTCCGCCGGATCCGTCGCCGCAGCCGGATCTGCTACCTTTGTCAACTCCAGCATCGCCGAACACCACCATCGACAGAATCACTGTCTTCGTCTTCAACGGCGACATCCCTGCCGTCGCCAAACTCAGGGGTCGGAGTCACCAGAGGGATCATCTTCACGCCGCTGATTGACTTCATCGCCGACCCACATCGTCGGCCTCCACTTCATCGCCGACCCGATCTCAGCCGAGGATCCTCTCAGAATCCGGGGATCTTGTCGCCGGCGCCGGCAACTCTAGCTCCTAAATCGTCTGGGTTCTTCTCGCCGTCATCTGACCCACATGCCTTCTCTCTATTGAATGATCTAAGCCTTGAAGGATAGAGAAAATGGGTTTCTGTGAGGTAAGGGAAGGTTGTGAGGATGGTGCGGCGGAGGTCGGCGCGGCGGTGGGCGGCGAGGAAGTGGAAGACAATGTACAGATATATATATTATACACATATATATATGCATACACATAGATTATATACATACATATACATAAGAAGAGTAAATACTATTTTTACCCCTGCCATGTCACCTGTTTTTTGGCTTCCATGTCAGCAATGGACGCCAGAGGGTGTCTCGAGACGATTTTTTCCCCATTTTGATAAGTAATCAACCAATTAAACCATGACAGTACTTCAAAAAAATATTTCAGGAATTTTTTTACAACTTACTAAACATTAATGTACGGAGTATTTTCTACCTACTTATTTTACCATTTTGTTCTCCACCCAATTACAAAATATTTCCGTTGTTTGGAGCAGGTAATTTCACTTTTTTTTTTTATTATTATTATTATTATATATAAAGGCTACATTTACATTTTATGATGTTGAGATCATTTTATGATGTTGAGACAAATCTCCCATAAATTGAACGTTTGAGATTTATAATTCTGACCTTCTTAAAAATATATATTGTAAATAAATAAATAAAATTGAGTGTATGGGCAACTTGGTTATTTTATGAAAAAAAAAATTTACAAATTTTAAGGAGAGGGGGTTATTGAGCATGGACTTGGATCCTCCAAGATAAATATTTAAAATTTATCTCTCTCAAAATGCTGCATTCTCAAGCTTTCTTTAAATTAGTTAATGTGAGTAAGTGTAATATATATATATATATATATATATATAAAGTACTGATCTCTTGCTCCATGGAGAAAGAAATTTTTTCCACACTTTCTACAGTGACCATTAGATTAGATCTAATGGTAACATTCCAAACACACCTATATATTTTCTTTTTAATACAAAACCAATATCAGTATTTATAATTTCCAAATTTAATATTTACCACTACAACTAATTATAATAATAAAAGGTAAGTACCAAAAAAATAAAAATAGAAATTTGTTCACCTTTGGAAATCACGTATCACCACCACTAATTTGAATTTTTGTTTTCTTTGAAAAAAAAAAAAAAAAAAAAAGTGTGAGAAAATTGCATCTACCACTTAATAATGAAAAAAATAAATAATAAAATAATAATTTTTGATGATAATGAAAAATAATAGTAATGATAGTATAATAATAGCAATATTAAATAAAACACTAAGCAAAAAAACTAATTTACAAAGGAAATATGAAATTTAATAGAATAATAGTATGTTTTGTAATCAATCTCCTCATTACATCAATAAATTTTTGTTATTATGGTAGAACTAGAAACATGATATTGTTTGAGTTATTATGATATTGATGAGTAATTGAAATGTGTTTACAACTGGTTAAAATCTGAAAATAAATAAATAAATAAATAATAATAAGGAAGATGAGATAATTTGTGACAAAGGGGTCTGAGAAAAATAAATTGAATTTCTAATTTTTAAAAGGATGCATTTAGAGAGGTATACAATAATTTTTTAACACTTATAATTCTTTTTTTTCAAAGAAAACAAAATCCTATTAGTGGGTGAGACATGATTTCCAGAAATGAAGAGTGATAGTGGTTTTGTATTAAAAGGAAAGTTTCGAAAAATTTGAAAATAATAAATAGTGGTAGTGGTTTTATGTTAAAAAGAAAGCGTAAAAGTGGGTTTGAAATGTGACCATTAGATCTAATTTAATGGTTATCACATAAAGGAGTAAGACATCAGTACTATATGAGTGTGTATATATATATATATTAAACATAATTTAACTTTATGTAAGATCATAAATCACGGACTTTCATATATTTTCGAATTTTATCTCAACTCATCTTAATTTTAGTCACTATTTTTGTTGACAAATTAACACACTGCTTTTTTCTTTTTGATTGTTCCCATTGGATCGATATAAGTCACTTTATCTATTTCACCAGTAGACTATTATTACCCTTATTAAATTTGTCATGAATGAAACTTGTCCACCCCTTTTCGATGTATTTTCATGTTGCAGTAAAATTAAAAACAAATTTCGAACAAAATGGATATTAAAAACAATTAAATACAGCAATATTTTGTTAGAAACCACCATTATCCGTGCGTAAATTTGTTAATCAGTCATGGATTTCCCTGAAACCAAAAGAGTCGTTGGATTTTTCTGAAAATTCTCTGTTTATTTTGGAGTATAGTTAAATAGATGATAGAAATATATATCAACTCTGAATTCACATACAATGAGGTTGTGTGATCGGCGCAGTTTATTTATGGATGCTAACTTGAGACCTCCAAATTAGAATGAAGCGACCATATGATCAAAACCAAAAACCGTGCAGCTTAAAGTAGTCGCAGTCCAATTCTAGTTCCAATTCCAAGACACCGATTCGTTAGAAACTGCATATAAGAGGCAAAAAAAAAAAAAAAAAAGAAACAATTTTTGCTGACTGAAAAGGTACACAAAACTCTAGTTAATGTTGCAGTCTGCGGAATTTCCTGTAGAACCCTCCCCAAAGTGGTAATAATATGAAAGTCCTATAATATAAGCCGCTTCATCTTCATCAAGTTCTTCCTCACTCTCAACATCATCTTCCTCACTATCAGTCAGTGCTTGCCTCGTACTTAAATGGTGCTCCCTATCCTGCCTATTAGACTCCATAATCTGGTTTGTAGACAAGCAAAATGTAAATAAAACATCTTGTGACCAGCAACAAAAACAATGGATTAACTAATAAGCAAAACATGGAGATGGTACGTACCTCGTCTACGTCTTGAGGCAGGGGAAGAACATCATTTGACATAGGAGCCCAGAGTTTTACATTATTTTCTAATCCACAGGTAGCAAGAACTGGCATATGTGGATGAGGCTCGAGAGTACTTGCAATGTCCTCATCATCCACCATTAAACGCACAAGTTCACCTCCCTTCTTCTTCCAAATAAATATATGCCAACAATCGGATCCACTCATAACGAATTCATCATTAGGACCAAAGAAACTCACTCGTTTAACCATTTTTGCATTCCTATGGCCCAAGTAAACTTGTGGATCTTCCTGTAAATCTTCACTTGAGGCAGACGACGGATCAGGACCCATCCCCATGTTCTTCTGGAACAAGTAAATGAGATCGTCATTGTAAGAGACGAGAAGCTCACTCGTGTTAGAGTATGCCAATCCCGTGATTTGAACATCAGGATCTGGAATCCCCGGACGAGGGTAAAATGTGTTTACAGGTCTGCCTAAATTAGTTGACACACCCCATTGGTATTTTCTGATGTCATAGACACGAGCATACTTATCAGTACCTCCCACAGCAAAATAATTAGGATTTCTTGGGTCAATGACAATAGAATACAATTTGATCGGGCTCAAACACTTCTGCTCATTTTCTGTGAAAGAGGAGCAACAGAAAAGCTTTGTAGCTGAGTTGCTTCGCAGATCATACTGCAAAAGAGAAAGATCCGTAAACTAAAATTGAAGTATGAATTGTCATATACAACGAAGACACTATAATTGACATACGCGTTGAACAAAACCATCCTCGCCACAGCTAAACAATATGTCGGGACTTCCTGGCTCCACAGCAAGATTATGTACACTACCTTGGTGCCTCCCAATCGTTTTTGTTTCAACTTTGCCATGCTCCATAACCAGGCCAAGCCTAACCTGCAAGGTGGAAAGTTCATGACAACAGTTCATAGAAGATACCCTAATCCATAAAAGTGCAAAGTTTATTCACAGCTTATTGTCCGAATTTGTAAGCAAACAAGGAGCGTGGATGAAACGTCAAAATAATGGCCTGAGCACAATAAGTAAGAAGCTATAAGCTAGATTAATCAACCAAAGCGGGGAGAACATAAAGGCTCTGAAATAACTTCATAATTAAAATCAAAGAAATCAAGGTTACAATAGTAAAGCAGGACTACTAAATTGACACATGCACTGCACATCAAAATATATATAACAAGGAGACAGATTATTTAAAAGAGCATATTGAAATAGAACAAATAATATATGCTCAAATTCACCTGGCCATCAGCAGAACAAGTTACTATTTTCCGATCATCAGTGAATGGCATGATTCTTGTATGCAATATCTCCTCTAAGTGGCCAGAATGATATGACAACTTTAATCCTTTCATTGCCCAATTCCAAATCATAACTTGTCTGTCATCAGAACCTGACACAAGAAGGTCGCCTGTGGAATTGAATTCCACTGTGTTTACAAAACCCTCATGACCATTTAATTTCCCATATAGATCAATTTGTTTCACAATGCCCTGTAACAGAAAGAATTAGCTAATTGCAACAATAAAAATTCCAATCAGCAAATTATGTTGGTATTTGCCAATTACAGAGACTCCTGACAAACTGAATCGCTATGGAAATTGGATATCCAAGGGAAATTATATTGCCAATTATATTCGTATATATATATAATCATATGTAAAACTTAAAACACATAAAAATAAATAAAAATAAAAATAAAAAATAAATTTTTTTTGAATACATTGCCCCCAAAAAAGGCATTAAATTGACACCAATAACTGTGAAACTTTTGATAATGAGTATTATTCATATATTTATCTCTATTTACAAATGTAACATCATAGATGTCCATTACAAAAACTAATAGCAACCAACACAAATAATAGTGAAACTTTAAAATGGGAAATTTCATGCTATCACTAAAAACTAATTCCATATACTTGTGGCAATATTTTATTTATTTTTAGTAAACCCAAGAGGCCAATTCCAATATTGAATTTATTTTGCATACACTAAAACTACTTGGTTTCCATAAAACAATCAAACATGCCCTAAAAAGTTCAAAAATTAATACTTCTTATTCAAACCAACTCAATTCATCAAAAATCCTTTCACATTATACAATCGATCATAATCAAAATGTATAAACCTGGCATAGCATAAAAACCTAGGTTCATAAACAGAATTAGAGTTTTATTGTTGAAAAAATAGTTAGCAAAAACTCCTACTACTGATAATTAAGAAGCATGTATTTTTGTGCTTGAAGAGAGAGAGAGAGACACACACACACACACACACATATAGGAGAGGGGGAAGCATAAAACCTCTGAAGCAGAAATTTGGCGAGCGAAGGTTCGAGGCTGAGATAAACCCATCTCCCTCCTGCAAATACCCAACAAGCCATATCCACGACCCCTATAAACAGCCTCCATTTTAGTATAATTTTCACTAAATTCAGAGGAATAAAAGCGTTGCAAAGATCATTCTCTCTCACGTAAAGAGAGAGAATTTTTTCAGGGGCTTTGGGGGGTCCTCGTTTTATGTAATGTAAATATAATACTAATATACTATCATAACATAACGGCGTTATACTTTCACATTCAAACTTGGATTGGAATACTGCTTTGTGTTTAATTGATTGATAGAGCTTAATTAATTAAAAAAAATATATTTATATGAGTTGTAATTATTATCTCTTTTTATTTTATTTTTAAATTATAAAACTTTTTTTTAATCAAATTACCTTTTTAAATTATTTCTTTTTTTTTTTATTTCGTGATTATACCTAATAACTTTTTTCTTTCCTTTGTTACATTTATTTAACTTTATTTTTTCTTTATTTTTAGTTGTTGTCTTTATTTTTAACTGTTGTCTTTATTTTCTTTCTATATATATAGTTAATATATAAAACAAGAAAAATATGGTTTCTCAATTCATTCACAATAGGATAATACTTAAGTCTTCACTAGCGAGAATATTTAATTTGGTAATTAAATATGACATATCTATTTATTATTGATCAACATAAGTGGTCACTATATTATAGATCATCACTAATAAGAAATTAAGTATTGTTCTTCACAATATATAACTCCTATATATGTGAACAAAGAAAAGGAAAGAATTGAAAAAAACACATGAGATTTTTTTTTTTTTTTTCTCTTTAATATGGATCTAAAAAAGAGGGGAGAAACAACAAGAAACTATCCACAGTAAACTTGTATATATGTATATAGTATAAATAGTTAAAAATAATTTTTTTTTTTAAAAAAAAAGAGTGGAAAGAATAAGGTATGGAAGCAAATTAAAAATGAAAGTTATTTATCTACAAGTACAAGGGTAATTTAGTTTTAAAAGTTAAAGTTTTATAGTTCTAAATAAATAAAAAATAGTATTAATTAAAACTTATTTTTCACTCAATCGAAGATGGGCACTCCTCATTAACAAATGCTTCTGTTCCAAAATATTTAGATACTTATTTGGGTCAGACCTTTAAAGTATTAGTCAAATTCAGCCCATATATTATTTTTTATTTTAAGCATTAGTCAAATTCAAATTCAAATTCGCATTCAAATTCTCAAACAATTGACTCTACTTTTTCTTCTTGATTGCTCCCTAGAATATATGTAGTTTTAACTTTAAAAAAAAAAATTAAGCACCTTATCAATTAAGTCATTGAATAATACATTAGTAACTGTATCTATTTGACCTGTAGGCTGATTAAATTTATCATGAATGAAACTTATCCACGTCCTTTCCATTCAATATTTTTTTATGTTGCAGTAAAATTATAAACGAATTTTGAAAATATATATATTTATAAATAATTAAATGCAGCAATATTTCGCTTGAATCCACCATTATGCCTGTGTAAATTTGAAAAACAATTATGGGTTTTACTAAAACAAAAAGAGAAGTTGGATTTTTCTGAAAATTCTTTGTTTAGAACTGTGAAGGGAAGGTTGTGATTTTTTTTATTTTCGAGAAGAGTTGGATATATTAAAAATAAGAGGTTTTGACCTCTAAGTTATAGAGTAATTTTACCGTCACTCCAAGACTCGTCCTCTTAATAAAAGTAAGAACAATGCTACTATGATGTCTCTCTCATGAGATTTTACATGAGATCTTCCTTCTTCTTTTTTTTTATGATTATGTACAAAATTTCGTTCAAAAAACTCATTAACAGTATATCACACAAGTTAATAATATAATTTAGACAAGAACAAAAATGTAAAATTTTGACTGACTCATGTAAAATACTGATAATAAATTTTTAAACGAAATTTTAACTATATAATTCTCATTTGGTCCTCTTTCAAGTAGTAATTTCGTGCCTCTTTGTACGTAATCACAAAAAATCTCGTGATAGAGATAGCATTACTGTAAAAGTAAATAAATAACAAATACTACATTTACTTGCATACATATTTACAAATGAAAAACAAATTAGCAATCTCAGTCGAGCATAAGATAATATAATCAGTAGATTATTTACAATATCTCACTCGACATTTTTTTTTTTTTTTGCTATATGCACTCAAATTATTGAACTTGGTAGTCAAAAATAACTCATTAATACTCCGAAAATTTAATTCCAACTTGAAACAAGTTGTAGTCCAATTTTGGTTCCAATTCCAACCTTGTATTGCTAGACTGATGTTGCAAAGCATGAAAACAAATAAAAAATTGCCAGTAGGAAGGGAATAAGAAGAAACAAGTTTTGCTCATAGATTTTTTTTTTTCTTTCAAGGCAATAATGTTAGATTAGAAGTTAGAAAAGCAAAAGTTCAAAGTCGGGCTCCCGAAGACAACGAGGAGCAATCCAACTACCCAACCATGAAGGCGTCATTGGCGAAACTCTAGCCAGTGGTTGCACTCATGTGGAATTTTCTGTAAAACCCTCCTTCCAAGGGGATTAAACATTTGACAATCCTAAAAGATAGGGAAAAGTGCAAAAAAAAACCCCTGAACTATGGAAAAACCTGCAACTAACCCCCTAAACTTCAAAAAATGTAAGAAACCCCCTGAACTATGCAAAAAAGTTACAGATCACCCCATCCGGCCAAGGTCCGGTGAAATATAGCCGTTAAATTTGAGTGAATTTTTTAAAAGACGATATTGCCCTTAGAAGCATGAAATGACAATAGTGCCCTTAATTTCTAACCGTTATACGGTTATACCCCAATATCCAATTCCTTATAATGGACCGACAAAGCCAAACACGGCTTTACCCAAATATCCCCAAATCACGAACTCTGCAACTGCTAGGGTTTTCTGTTGTTGTTCTTGGTGCTCAATCGACTGTTAATTTAGGTAATAATCGCGGTCAGAAAATCGATACAAGTGTTGGTAAGTGTTATCATCCATCTTTACTTCTATTTTCATCTTCGCGATGCTGTCAGTTTTGATGTCCATTTCCTTCTCGTTCTCCTTCTCTGTGTGTGCGTATATTTACAGAAAATGAGTTATGAACCATCTGCAAGACATGGATTTCGTGGTGTGGTGCGAAGGGGCCCTTTCAGGAATAGGAAATGTTGTTGTGACAAAATGGCAGCTGTGTTGATCTCTGAGTCAAACGACAATCCTGGGAAGTTGTTTTTCAATTGCAAGGATAGGGTTTGTAATTTTTTCGAATGATGGACTCCTTCGGCTGGTTTGGGTGAAGCTATACAAAAGGAACATGAAGGTTGAGTATGTCAAGTTGTGTCCATCAGTAATTTCATTGCAATTGCTAAGTCAATGTTAGTTGGAAGCATGTTTTTATTTGGCCTGCCAGTTATGGTGCTATTTGTTTGCCTTTTTGTGAAGTGAATGTTGGGATATAGTAGTATGTTGTTGTATGAATGAACATGTATTTTGGGAGTTGAAAAATCCGATTGTAGTGTTGTATGTTGAACATGTATTTTGAGGGTTGAATTTTCTGATTGTATGTTGTATGAATCAAAATCTTGTAAAAGTTTGAGATGAATGAAAATTCAATCTGTTTTGTTGAAGGTGGTGTTGTATGAATGAGAATGAACATCTATTTTGGCATTTGCAATTTATATTTGTCATGCAATAAGACCAAAATTAGGTGATTTTGGTTTGCTGAATGATAGTGCAGTACAGGTTATGATAGTGATTGGAAGTGCAAGGTTTTGGGGGTTGAATTTTCTTATTGGAATTGCAAGTTTTTGGCACTGCACCTGTTATACACTTGTCTTGAAAAATGAATGCCATTATAATTCAGTTTTTGGCACTGTACCTGTTATACATTTATAGCAAAAATGAAAGCCATTATAATTCAGTTTTTGACACTGCACCTGTTATACACTTGAGTTGTAAGTGCCAAAGTGACAGACTTAGTTAACATGACCTTCACTTAATTGATCTAAGTGCACTGCAATTCACTTCATATTCAATGCACTTGGTGATCTGACCTTCACTTAATAAAAGTGTTCCCAAAATAAATGCAGCAGTTAAAACACTGATAAATAGAGTGATAGAACATGTCATACATTCATAACAAAGTCTTCATACACAGACTGACAATAAACAAAAAGGCTGACAATAAACAGGTTAGTTTTGTACTAGTCTTCCACATGATCATATAACATACTGACAGTAAACAAAGTGCCATTATAATGTAACATGTCTTCACTCCATTCACTTGAACAATCACCAAAAAAATGGGAGTCTTCATGTCAACAATAGTTATAAATATAACAAAACATTCATCAGCAAGATCATCATCAACTCTGTGGCCATTTTCACTACCAGCATGCATACTCACTTTCCATCATTGATCTGTCAATGAAACAAAACGAAGTGGTAACCATGCAGTTAAAAAGCAAACCAAAATAATTTAAGTTAATTAGCAGATTATAAATCAAGTTAATTAGCAGATTATATGATCTTCGGAAACTTAAAAACAACAAACAAACCATGCAGTTAAAAGTAACAAACAAACCATAGCATTCAATATAGGACTATTGTCATTATACCTAGAAGATGATGCTTAAGTTTGTGACAATTGAGAAAATGGTATATTTTGAACCTGAAATGAAAAGTGGTAAAACAATAAGTGAGCTTGAATATGATATATAATTTTAAAGCTGTGAATATGGTAATTTTTACTAAATTAAAATATAACTATACCTCTTGATTTGCAATTGGAGTTGGAATATCAAGTCCTCTGGCTCCTGTCTCTACCACCCCTTCTTCCTCTTTCTCTTGCAGGCATCCCATCAGGTCCTCTTGTTTTCCCTCTTCCAACACTTGGTGGTCTACCACCCCTTTTTGGTGGAGGTCTGTCAATGACCAATGGCTCAGGTAATTTGCAAGTCCTTGAGTTATTACCATTTTCCTTGCACTTGGAACATTTCAGACTTTCCTTTGATCTGTTAAGCTTGGTTAAACCTTTGGGATTATCATTCTTCTTGTTCTTAACCTTCTTTGGCCTACCAGTGGGTTTCCTATAGTGTGGTGGAAGTAATGTGTCAATACTATCAGCTTTCATCAACATTCCCATTGGAATTAGAAAAATCATACCACTATAACACTTCATATAGGTTTCTCTGTGATAAAATGGGTGAACATATGACTCTGGAGAGTCCCTTTTAGTAAATATGCATGCCACTGCATGCCTACAAGGAATACTAGTTAAGTTCCAAACTCTGCAGCTGCAGGTATGTTTATCAAGGTCAACAGCCTCGCTGATTCCATAGCATTGAACTTCATACTTGTCATCACCAGCATAATGAACCTTACACATGCAAGCTTGTTGTGTCACTTTGTTTAATGCCTTTTGGATATCTGGACATAACAACCTAAATTGTGTATGCATCCACTCCCTCTTACACTGAAACCTTAATATTAAATGCCTTTTAATCCACTCAAGCATGTATATAATCGGCTTATCTCTTGCTTCAACGATTACAACATTCCAACTCTCACAAATGTTATTAATAACCAAATCATTTTTTGAAGTGTCAGTGAAGGCTGACCTTGACCACAAATGAACCGGCACCTTTGTCAACCAATCATGAGCTTCAACATTTAACTCTCTCATTTTTGTCACGTGTTGCTGGAAATCTACTTCAGTGTATGCCCTTGCAGCCTCCCATAATTGAATCTTCAATTGCTGGCCTTTGAATCTGAGCTTGAAATTCTCATAAAGATGCCTCACACAAAACCTATGATCTGATCCCTCCATCATTCTCTCAAAGGTTTCTACTAAACCCTGTAAATAGGACATCAAACTGTCAATTAGTGTGTGTGTAGGTGTGAGTGTGTGCAGAGGTGAGTGTGTGTGCATGTGTGAGTGTGTGAGTATGTGCAGGTATGAATGTGTGCAGGTGTGAAGGTGTGAGTGCGTGTGCATGTGTGAGTGTGTGCAGGTATGAGGGTATGAGTGTGTACAGGTGTGAAGGTGTGAGTGTGTACAGGTGTGAGTGTGTGAGTGTGTGTGCATATGTTAGAGTGTGTAGGTGTGAGTATGTGCAGGTGTGAGTGTGTGTGTAGGTAAGTGTGTGTGTAGGTGTGAGTGTATGAGTGTGTGCAGAGGTGAGTGTGTGAGTGTGTGCAGGTGTGAATGTGTGAGTGTGTGTACATGTGTGAATGTGTGTGTGTTGGTAAGTGTATGTGTAGGTGTGAGTGTGTAAGTGTGTGCAGAGGTGAGTGTGTGTGCAAGTGTGAGTGTGTGAGTGTGTGCAGGTGTGAATATGTGAATAAGTAAGTATGTGTGTGCAGGTGTGAGTGTGTGTGCATATGTGAGTGTGTGTGTGTGTGTTGGTAAGTTTGTGAATGTGTGCAGAGGTGAGTGTGTGTGCATGTGTGAGTGTGTGAGTGTGTGCAGGTGTGAGTGTGTGAATAGGTAAGTGTGTGTGTGGGTGTGGGTGTGTGCAGGTGTGAGTACGTGAGTGTGTGTGCATGTGTGAGTGTGTGTATAGGTAAGTGTGTGTGTAGGTGTGAGTGTGAGTGTGTGCAGAGGTGAGTGTCTGTGCAGGTCTGAGTGTGTGAGTGTGTGCAGGTATGAGTGTGTGTGTAGGTAAATGTGTGTTCAATTGAGTGTGTGCAGATAAGTGTGTGTAGGTAATATGTGTGTGCAGGTAAGTGTGTGTGGAAGGAAGTGTCTGACCACACATTAATATACATTTTACCTTCTGCCTATCAGATATGAAGGATATATCATTGTATGGCCCTACAGCATCCATCAACTCTCCCATGAACCATTCCCAAGAATCTCTTGTCTCACACTCTACCACTGCAATTGCAACTGGGAACATTTGACTATTCCCATCCATGGACACTGCACTCAGTAGATGACCACCATAACGAACCTTTAGGAATCAGTAGATGACCACCATAACGAACCTTTAGGAAGCATACATCTACACCAATTAGTGGCCTACAACCTTGTTTAAAACTAGCTATCATTGCATAATAACAAATAAAGACTCTTTGAAACCTTTTAACACTTTCATCAACAGTGGGCTCAGTTTGTATTTTAACTCCACTACCAGGGTTGGTTCTCAATATCAAGCTACAGTAATCCCTCATTTTACCATACTGCTCAACATCATTCCCCTCTATCATTTCTAATACCTTTCTTTTTGCCCTATACACTTTATGTGTGGACACATCAATGTTCATTTCAAATGCAATTGTGCTCTTAAGTGTTCCCAAAGGTATCTTAGGGTTCAATCTCACTTGTTCACAATATTTGTTTGCTAAGAAGGTTGATGAGGCCTGTCCATTTGAATGAAACCATAAACAGTTAGTATGTTCTGGCACATAGGTCTTAATAATCAAACAATCTTCATTTTCAGGTTTACTTGCATGTATCCTCCAACCACATTCAGCCTTGCACACTGCAGTTACCCTATCTTCATCATTCCTTGTGAACATTATATCAAACTAGTTTTTCAATGCATTTTCCCTAAGTGCCAACCTAAAATCAACAGCTGACCCAAATTTCATGCCTAATTCTAGTTCTTTTTCCCCCAAATCCCTTGAAGGAATGTAATCCTGGTGCATATAACCATTATCAACACATTCATCATCAGATTCACACAGACTTATCAACTCATCACTAGGACTATACTCACTTGACACAGGAGTAATGAGTTGGGTATCACTCATTAGATAATCCCATCTTAAATCAGCATCTGAGTTGACCTCATTCTCTGCCACATTCAACAAAGGTGCAACAATGTATAATTTCACAACAGACATTTTTCCATGAGCATCATGGTCATAAAACATCCTAAACACATTTAAATCACACTTCACTTCTCTGAATTGTTGCCACTCATAAAGTACTTTGTAGAACACTTCACTAATCACCCCATACCCTAATCCAGTTGCCATCCTTTGAACCTCAATATATGACATCATGTCAGGGTCTATTTTTTCAAATTCAGTTATATTTCCTCTTAAGTATGTCATAGGGTGTGATTTCTCAAATATACCCCCATGATGAAGTTCAATGGTAGACATATCTTCTATCTACAACAACAAGTGGGTACAGAAAACCTCAATATAGACAATGACAGAGACACACCATTCACTAAGTGTACAAATAATAGAGACAATACAAATAATAGAGACAATTCAATAATTTATATACATGATTACTATGTATGTCAGTATGCAATTGGGGTACAATTACATAACACATGGTGCATATTTACTAACATAAGGGACCACTATATAATATAGACAATGTAATCAATAATAGTGGGTCAAAATTAAATACAAAAAAGGACCACTACAAAGCATATCAGGTCTTTGACAAACACAGAGGGACCACCATGTCACAAAAAGTCATGAAACAAAGAGATTGTATACTATTTATGCAGACAATAGAAAGAAACAATAACAACAGAGTAGGTTTTTAGACAGAGACTAGTCGACATGAAGAAGAAGAAAAACCACTGCAAAGACATTATACCTCGGACCTTTCAAAAAAATGATACATCAACTATAACATCAGAGTTCTAAAATGGCATGAACAAAAGCGAAATCTAAAAGGTCACAACAACATCAATTACAAACTTTTACTCCTGTCCTTTAAAATTTCGACAAAGATATTGTACAAAGCAAGAAAAACTCATGAACAAAGCAACAAACAGACATACATGAGCTTCGTCAATATATAACAAAATTGATATACACACATATAAGAAAAATCAGTTAATTAGAGTAAGAGAGTTACTGAATGCGAGTCCCAGACTTTAAGGCAAACGTTTTTTAGGGTTTTATGTTGATTCGGTTTGAAAAGAAGGCCGATTTGAAGAGAAGGCTGACAATGGCTTCCTTTTCTCCTCTCTGTGTCTTTGCCGTGAATGAAGGAAGGTGGGTTAGGTTTAGATGTGTGTGAGATAGCAATCCTTATCTAGTTGCGTTGTCCAAATGTTATTGGTCGGTTAGATTTTCTGTGCCACGTCAATAAGTGAAACTGATATCATCCACCAAACTGCGTCGTTTTATTAAAAGGGCAACTTAGTCTTTTTTCTTTTCCAATGACCTGAGTGGGCAAATTGCAAAAAATTGAAAGTTCAGAAGGGTTTCTTGTAGTTCCGGGGGGTTAGTTGCAAAACCCCCATAGTTCACGGGTTTTTTTTGCACTTTTTCCTAAAAGATAAGCCATGCTGCTTCTTCTTCCTCAATAGGAGCCTGTGCTTGCCTCCAATCAGGGATAAGCATATCATCGATCTAAATCATCCTCCCTTTCTTGCCTTTTTAGACTCCATAATCTGGTTGTAGACAAGCAAAATGTAAATAAAACAATCTAAGTGACAAATAATTCAGTACCTTAGTCTCTCTCTCTCTCTCTCTGTGACCAGCCCCAAAAAGCAATCAATTAACTGATAAGCTAAAAAACATTAACATCGTACCTTGTCTGCGTCTTGAGGCAGTGGAAGAACATCATTTGACATAGGAGCCCAGAGTTTGACATTATTATTTTGTATTCCACCACAGCTAGCAAGAACAGGCATATATGGATGAGGCTCGGGATGATTTATATTGTTCTCATCACCCACCATTAAACACACAACTTCACCTCCCTTCTTCTTCCAAATAAATATATGACCACCATCGGATCCACTCATAACGTATTCATCATTGGGACCAAAGAAACTCGCTCCTTTATCCGCTCGTGAATTTATGGCCCAAGAAAACTTGTGAATCTTCCAGTTTCTCTAAATCTTCATGTGAGAGAGACGACGGATCAGGACCCCCTCCCCATGTTCTTCTTGAACAAGTAAATGAGCTGATCATTGTAAGAGTCAAGAGTATGCCAATCACGTTTACAGGTCTGCCTACATTAGTTGACGCGTCCCATTGGTATTTTCTGATGTCATAGACACCAGCATACTCATCACAACCTGCATGCCACAGCAAAACAATTAGGATTTCTTGGGTAAATAACAATGTCATTCGATGTGAGGGGGGCATATATACTGGCATACTGCAGCTTAATTTCTCTGAAAGAGTTGCAACAGAAAAGTTTTGTAGCTGAGTTGCATCGCAGATCATACTACAATGGAACGTTCATGATGAAAAAATTCAAGAAGATACCTTAATCCATTCAAATTCGGGTTGAGTTCAAGTTACTAGTACCTCAACTCAAACTCAACTCCAATTAATTTTGGGTTGAGATTTTTCAACCAGGCCCAACTTTAATTGTAAAAATAATGCCCGTAAAAAATCAAATTGGGTTCAGGTTGACCAATCCAAGTTACAACCTAATTTCTAATTTCTTTCTTTTTTGTGTGTATAAATATTTTAATTAAGGAAGAATCCTCTTATATGATGAGATTTCATTAATTGAAATAATTCAAAGTAAAAAATAAAATTTAGTCCATAGAGTAGCATTTTGTGCCGTGGCTAGAAAATAAATAAATTACACTGGAATTCTTTTATGCTCTATTCGATAGGAAAAAAAAAAAAATTGGATAGAAGAGAGAGAAGAATTGATCGATAAGACATCCTAGGAAAGAGATTGTGTATATCATTCTTTTTGTTCGGTTGAATAAAAGAGAAGAGAATAAACTCGTAATTTATTATGTTCGTTAAGAGATAATAAAATAGAAAGTTTTAATTGTTTTTACAATTATATTCAATAATATTTATATTATTATAATTTATAAAGAATAGTACTCTAATTTAAAACTTGTATAATTTATGATAATATTTAGATTCCGTTTGTTTCAAGGTAAAATATTCTTTTTGGAATTTTTTTTTTTCTAATCTACGTCGAAATTGAGGTGAATCCATCGATGGGACATGTAAAATAATATGTCAAAAATTAATAGATAAATTATTTTTGTTAAATTTTAATATTTTTTTCTTCCTAAATATTTTACAACAATCAAATACCGAAAAAATTAAAAAAATATTTTCTGAAAAATATTTTACATCCAAACAAACTGCTCTCTTCGCCTATTTTTTGGCAAATGAAAATTTGTAAAGTAGGAATGATGAGTCATCATTCTTATTCTCCTTTCTTTAAATTTATTATTTCCTTCCTATTTTATCTCCACATCTCTTCCTTCCTTGCTACTTCCTTGCTACCTAACACAGCATTAGGTTTATTTAGAACTTTCTTTGGTTCATATGCTAGAGAATATATTAAGTATCAATCCTATATACACGAGAAAGGGGTCGAAAATAAATTGAGTCCAAATATATGTCTTATTCTTTTCAATAATACATAGTTGTGGCAATGAAATACTATTGTTCCTCCCCTAAGTTATAAACCTTGAAATATATTATAAATCTGTTAAATTTATTTAGGAAAAAAAATCTGTTAAATTCAAAGAAAAATGTTTAATAAAGGAAAACAAACAACTGAAGATATGGCAAAATGGTTGAAAGCCCTCAGATTACTAAGATATATTTATACATGGGTTGCACTTTATGAATAAAAGGGCAAGAAAATGATCCCCACAAGCTCCCTTCATCCATGTTTTGGCTATTTAATAAGGTCACCCACTGTCATCAATGTTAAACAAGATCTTGTATAGGATAATAATAGAATGAGGATGCAAAAGGATGTCTTGATTGTAAATAAAAATAAACCAGCCAATCATAAAGAAAAAAGACGTAAATGAATGACTATTCAACTAGGACTTTTCTATACCATAACTCTTTTAAGGATGTGATTCATTATTACATAAAGAACATAAGAAAATTTCCCTCCAAAATCCACACTGGTGTGTGTGTTTGTGCGAGCTTATGTGTGTGAAACTTTATGGATCAGCCCGTCTATTAAAACTGATACCCAAGAGCACACCGCTTAAAGAATCCCCCTCTCTACAACTGAATCTTAATCCTCTATTGGGTTAAAATAAAAACAAAACAAAACCAAAAAAAAATTACATGAACTCTTGATTACCAGCTTGAATGACAGCAGGCAGAACCCTTTTATACCAATACATCCAAAGAATCTGAACCGGGATTATACATTTCTAAGTTAAAATCGAGCTGCACGGTGTTAGAGCGAAGAAGTATTATAATTCTTGCCAACCAACATGGGTAATATGGATATCGATTCTTGGCTTCATCTATAGCGGAAATCTTCGTTTTCCTCTTTGTACTTTCTTCTTTCGCAAAATTAGTGGAAACATAAAGAAAATATGAATGGACTAATCATCATCATTGGTTAGTAAGGCAAAGGAGAAAGGTCTGAACTTATAGCCATCACCATGATAAAACTTGTTTTGGTATTCCACCCAATGGAGACGCAAGGCGTGAAGGAAAGCACTAAGGCTCTCCATCATCAGTAGTATGAAGGCTGTTGCAAAAGCAAAAACTGCTAGCCCCACCAACCGGATGATGATGTTATCATACCTGCAATACTCATCATTAATGGCAGTAAAAACAATAGAGAGCATACAGTCATTTGCCACTAAGCATGTTAAAGGACAAAGCACAATGCATTGTATGAGAATAGTCACTAAAAAAAAAATGAAAAAAATGCAAGCACTATGGATCCACTAAAAAATATGGAAGTTCACTTTATCATTGAATAATTCCTAATCCAAGATCTTCACATTTTAAACCCGACTAATAAAAAATGATTGTATCTTACAAGACGATCTTTGGGGAAATAGTGGATGAGGCCTCAAATTTCGACAAGTCACAACCGTGCTCTCTACTAGGTATTGTTATTGGCACACAAAGTGCATGAGAGGCAGCAGAAGAAGAGAGAAAATAAAGGGAGGGGGAGAGGGTGGACAATAATGGTTAACAAAAAAAGATCGGGTCAGTTGAAGGTCCCTTCACTTAATAATTATATGAATGGATTGATTTGATACAAAATTGAGATGTTTGCCTATGTTAAGAACCCAAAAATTTCATACCTAGAATGCTGTGTGTTTTTATATTCTAAAACAAAATTATACAGAAATATGAATTTAAGAGAGGGTTCAAGACTTGTGTTGCTTATTGTCCTTCTGATAATAGTAAAGATAAAAATAGATTCAACTCCAAATCGAATCTTAAGCAAATTTTAAAACACATTCAACTGTGCTCCTGGCAATTAATTCCTTCATAAGAGACTAATACAGAGTGCCTACCAAGAAAGAAAAAAAAAAAAATCATAAACATATTCAACTGTTTACTGTAGAAGATTTGCTACAGTAAGTGAAATAACAAAAGGCTTCTTGCCTGTATGTTGACACCCTTACTAGGGTTTAGCGAACAAGTAAAAAGCTTTTCAACCATCCACCACATCCACCATTATATCGTAGCTTTTTATGGTTTTTTTTTTTTTTTTTTGGTTGATAAGTGTAGCTTTTTATGTTTTTTGGTCTTTCACTGGTAACATATCACCTCCTCCCCACAGGTGCATTTACTCCTCATATATGAACCGTCTTGAACAGCTAAAACTTAGGTACCTGAGAATTTTTTCACGAGTACTGATAAAGGCTATAAAGTTCGGACTTGTACAAGCGTGAGAAGCCGATTCCAATCTATGGCCAGCCACTTTCTGCAAACCATGGTAAAAGTTTGATTTGTGCCAAATCTAGTGATCTACCCCTTCTAGAACCCCTCATTAACTAGAACAAAGGAGGTTAATAGTTCCCCCTTTTTACCGATAACTTGGATAAACAAGAATAATATAAACTATAAGCACCAAAAAGGATGCAGCTTATATACATGTGAAGTATACAGGACTATGACTTGACAGCAAACAAAAACTACTCCTTCCAGAAAGCTAAATCTCCTCTAAAATTAATAAAAGAAACTAAAGAATCCATTAACTTCCCAGAAAAATCTAACATTGAGTGGAATGTAACATCAATTGCTTCAGTAAGTGAACTGTTATCTCCACATTCTCAAGGTTTGCCAAAACTAAAAGAGTCACAACTTGCACAATATTAATACCTAAAAAATATATTATTCAACCCACACTAATAATTCAAGCTCTGATTGCTGGGTACTGCTCAGCCTACACAGACCCAAATAATTTGGGTGTGTGTTTTAAGGTTGAGCGAGTATTATCCTGAAAATAGCTTGGATATTTGTCATGAATGAGGAAAAGACAATAAAGAGATGTACATGCTAATGGAAGTTGAAATGGCAGAAGAAGACTATGCAGTAGGCTGATGTGTTGGGTGAAAAGTGAAAACTTACCCCCAGGCAAGGAGGAGGACTTTCTCATAGAAAACAGTTGACAATTCCGAGTGGGCCAAGCTGTTATAGCAGTAACAAATATCAACTAAAAGATAATATAACAGAAAAATTAAATTAAGTTTAAGAAAGGGACAACATGGTTCCTGTACCTTAAAGCCCAAAGCCGAAGATATGATGCAGTATTAGAAACTGCACCAAGTATAAACTCAATAGAATGTATCATTTGATGCACAAAGACCTCGCTAAAATTGAATTCCTCGTGATGTTGTCTTGCAGAATCAGGTTCCACATCAAAATCCATTTCAGAACTTCCAAGGATTCCATATGTACGACCTTGAAATCTCTAAAGAATATATTGTAACAGAAGAAACAAAATTAATTACTAAATTCATGACACTAAGAGTGAAACTCAACAATGTGACACTGTTACTCGAAAGTGAAACTTGAGTTTTCAACGACTACAGAATATAGGATCAAAAGTATTCAAACAAGTAAAAGAAAGAGCAACACTCTAATAAGTTCGCTAAATTAAGGAGTTGCATCACGGTTCTCAGGGACCTTTAGAGTTTAGAATACCACGAACCCTTTTGGGAAAAATGTGTACTGGAAATTTGAAATCATGATAGATGCAGTTCAACCTATGTGGATATATATATACATTTTTTTTTTTTCCTAAGCTATGTGCATATATATATATATATATATATATATATATATATATATATATATTTTATCCAAAGAAATTTAAGAAAGCGTCAATTTTCATTAAGCTACAAGCAATACCACCATATGATGTCACAATTATAGGAGATCATATTACACCTTGTTCTTTTCTTTTCTTCTTTTTCTGGATAATGCATTCATAATTTTACAATGGATAATACATTGGGGTAGATCTTTCCATGTTATAGTTCACTGTATTAAGTACAAATACACTATAGAATCGAAAACCAGATGCAACATAAATATGGGAGTTATAAGCACGCTAGACTTGGACCCCTATAAAATGCACATATTGAATAATGTATAACTTGCTTCAGCTATTAACAATCAAAAAAATAAACTAGTGGCTTTGGGTCTTAATTCCCAAGCTCTAGGTCAATGTTTGGAGTCTGGTACAAAGAGAATAAAGGAGAGGAAAAAAAAAGAGGACTTTGCAAGCAGTAAGAAACTACACACATAATGTTCTAAGAGAGAGAAAGGCACTCAAATGTTTAATAAAAGACTACTCCATTTACTAGTTTTATGGTATTTAACCTATTAAGATGCCTGGGGTGACATTTCTACAATTTCAAAAAACAGGGCTGCAGCATCAGTTGGGTAAACATAGATTTGAATCATCGCATGTATTTGAACGTAAGCAAAATTTGGGTTAGAGATAGAGACAGTTAATGTATAAAGTTAGAAACTTTGAACGAAAATGAGAGTGAGTGCTTCCCTAGAGCAATATAAAAAATAAATAAATAAAATAGAAGAAATGGAGAATGTATATGTTGAAAGAAAAGAACATGAACAAAAGAAGAATTCCATTAGAGAAGTTGTTCATTCAAGTCAAGAATGAGAAGCGTGGAACAAGAGATGTTAACACAGTACCTCCATGTGAAGTTTCTTCAAAATAAAAGGTTTTGGAAAAAGCATCCATGGAACTGCAATAATTGCCGAAAGCAAGAATATGATCTGCAAAAGTCTATTATTATTAATCAACTTAAAAGACAATAATAATTAAAAAATTGCATTCGTTCAGTCAACAACAAAAGTGAGAAGAGGTTATACCTGTAGTACCGTCTGGCCCCAAAACAACTGATTATCACCAAGAGCCTCAAAGGGACTCAGAAACATGTAAATCATCACATGATAAAGGTCAGCTTGAGAACCAGTGCACCACTTGATGACAATGAGAAGTGAAAGATACCCAAAAAGACAATTAAGAAAGATCATCTGTGGCACAAACTGATACCTAAAAACAAAGCACAAAATAAGTTCTACACTTCCCACTTATATTTAGATTTCAAACAGAGGTAGAAAGAAGGGAGACGGGGGAGGAGAGAGTAAACACCTAATATCCAGTGAGCTGCTGAAGAATCGTGCATTAAAGTAACTCATCATGATCCCTAGGTTCATCTGAACAATACCCAACAAAATTGACATCTTCATTTTAAGAGAGTTCAAGAAAGGAAGTTCTGAACGACTTCCACGCCAGCTGGGATCCACACCAAATGGATATGGATCTCGATATTTGATCAAACCAACTGTATGTGCATTACTGACAAAGAATATAAAATATTTGTTAAAGATTTGCACAACCGAGTAACTTAAATAAAATAAAAATAAAAAATAAAAAAACAATAAGAAGAAGAAGAAAGGGAAAAAAATTCCAAAAATTATATAACAGAATAACATAAAACAAATTGTAATCTCCAGAAATTTGAAGGATGAGCCATTGGAGAAGAGAAGTATGAATGTGGGCGAATTCATGTTACTGACACCATTCATTGGGGAAAAAAGCAAGGATAATAATGATGATGATGGCTTCTTACAGCAGCTAATTCTAGAAACAATGATTAAGCACTCAAATTCTACTATTCACGTGGGCGAAAAAAGCCACTAGGCAACATTGTGCGGATCAATTGTACAGAAACCCAGCATGAGAAAATTATCATTGCAATTCAATTCTCATCAAATTCCAAGGTTAGAATATCCATATAATTTCTAAAAAATAGTAGTGAAATAATCTAACTTAGATAATGTTTTGCATAGTTGATCTATCAAATGCAAGTCATTAACTGGCTAGTTCAACTTGTATGTTTTAGTGGGATGTTCAAAGACGGAAATAGCTAGGACATTAGCATCCTCTGTTAATTTGAGACTACATTATTGGATATAAGACATAAGAAAACTGTAAACCTACTGGCCAGGTTGACAGTCACTTGCACTTAAAGATCAAATGATCTTGAGATGCAAAAGTGGAGTAATCAAATTAAGCACCGTATAATAACCTAAACTTATGGTTTGAAAATTGTGCCTAAACTAGCTGCAGATCAACATCCATTACCCCAAGTGCAAGCACTAAGACATTTTCAGTTAAAATATGATCTAGTGGCCTAATAAGCTTGAATACAGATCCAAACTACCACTCTCTTAAGCATAAATAGATGTAAGACTGATGTGATAATGGATAGCAATAAACCCTCTATTTTAATTTCTGAAAAAACTAAACCCTCGATTTTTGGGTAACAAAGCCCACCTAGCCCCAAATGGGATAGAATTGGAGAGCAACTAAATAGGGTAGGGGCGGGTTTGGGTAAACTATGTAAACCAAAGTTGGGTTCAATGCAGAGTTTGGGTTAGGGAAACCTACCCCACCGAGGATAGGCATATTTAAACACGTAAGTTTTTATTTTTTGTTGTTTAAGGCTTCAATACAAGGCAATATTCTTGTGTTCCACCACGAGGCCCACAACAATAGTCCAGTGAGTAACGAAACATATAAATTCAAACTTTATCATCGGCTGCAGCTAGTTAGCCAAGATAGTATCTCCTGCCCATCCCCATAACAGATGGCGGGTTTGAGCTTTGAGCCCCAAATTAGGGATGGGAAACAGGAGAACCCAGACTATGGGCAGGGATTACAAAAAATAACAAAAAATATAAGTTCAAGTGAGGTCTGGCCATATTTTGATGTGAGGCAGTGAGAGGTGTGGGTACGTGACCCTATATTACAAGTGGCATCTAGGAGGGAGCCGCCTTGATGCTTGCATACAACAGTGTCCTGTTTGGGTGTAGCACCCATCCATTGACTTGCACAAAGCACCTCATCTTGAAGAATATTTTTTTTTTTTTTTGATAAGTACCTCATCTTGAAGAATCTTACCATGAGGACATCTTATCCATGGATAGGACATCTTATCCGTGGATAGGCCTCACTCAAGTAGTTAAACGGATCCTACAACCTATTTGGTTTGGCTAAAGTCCAAGGTTTGTTGAGTGACCCTCCTCAAAGACCCCTTGAGGTGACCTCTGATGAGCACCAAATGTTGTGCATTCGAGCCCTTAAAGTTGCGTATATTAGCTATTTTGTAATCCTTATGTAGTTGCACTTGCATCATTTATTTGGTTTCGGTTATTTTCAGGTGTTCATTGTAAAAACCGGTTAATTTTGCTTTATTCATCCTTTAATGAGGTTTCCAAGGATCAAGGCATGCATTGGGATGATTTCAGACTTCAAAGGATGAATAAAGCAAAATTAATGAAGCCACGATCGATCCTAGCTTCTATAGGATAGATCCTAAGTATTCCAGCAAATATTGCAAGCAGCGACGGAGCCAGTATAGGACCGGGGGGGCACTTGCCCACCCTGGATTTTTTCCTTCCCTTATTTTATATATATATTTTCCTATAATATGTATATATTTTTTGAAAATGTGTATAAATGCCCCCCCTCAAATTTCTCTTTCCCTTGTATACTATATATGTAATTTATTAATTTACCTCATTCCAAAAATATCAATCTCTATATATATCAACCCATTTCTCTTTATGTATATATACTCCATAAACACTAATTTATATGTATTTAGTGTACAATGTGCCCCCCCAAACAAAAATTATGGCTCCATCCCTGATTGCAAGTGCCCGAAGAGGAAAAGTCCACCGCCAAGTTTACAATCGATCGTAGCTTGGTATCGCATCGCCCTACAGGATCGATCACAGGTCATTTACGATCAATCCTAAGTGCATCAGAAGAGAATTGCATATTTTAATCCCTTCTTACCATATGCAGGCCGAACTTCATCAAAAGCTTATGTTTTACATTCGGGGCCCCGGTCTGGAGCTTATTTTGGGTATGATTACCACAATTGAACGGAGCTTTTAAAATATTAGAGTTTTAGAGAGAGATTGGCGGCTTGAGGCTTCTCTCCGTTGTTGAAGGCTAAAGAAGGTGTTCCGATCAGAATTAGCAGTCCATGGAGATGGTGTTCAGCACATGATTGAAGATTTCTTCCTTTTCCATGAGTAGCTAAATTCCCACTTAGGGCATTGATGTAGCCCTAACCAAGTAACATGTGTTAATTGTTTATTTTTAGGGATCTTTTCTGGATTATGTATATTGATTGCTTGATTGTGAGCAATTGACTACTAAGCAATTGGGTTTTAATGATAATAACCGGTTTTTGATAAAATCTCTATCTTATCTTGGAATTGATTTTACTTTAATCGAATTCAAACTTCTTTTATTGTGGGAAATTGGCGGCTAAGGGCTTTTCTTAATGTTAGGAGTAGTTATCATGCAATGGCGCTTAAACGAATGTGTGAATGAATATTTTGATAGTTCATACCTAGGGAAGACGGGTTGTACTACAAAGTAGATTAGAGTAGTTAGGTAGATAAGTCATGCCAGCCGAAGATGAGTTATGCTTAGTGTTTGTTTACATATCTCTCTCTTTATTTGAACTGGAAGTGAGTGTGAGGCCACTTGGTTCTCGAATATACATAAATATGAATTTCCCCAGAAAGTACTGCAATTGACCATGTTACGAGGCTAGTGGTGAAATCAATCCCTGAGTTCCCCTTCTCTTGATACCTATTCTATCTTAACTTAGTTTCTTGTTCTTAGAATTATCATGCATATCACAATTCTTCTCTTGAATTAAATTTAGCGCTGGTTTTATACTTATTCCTCACAGTCCTTGAGATTTGACACCCTCTATATAACCCTATCCTGCAAGGATTCGTTCTATTGCGAGTGGTTTATCATTGATAGAAATATCGATACACATCAACCTCTTCTAGGGATCTCTTCCTCGAGGTCCCTTTTGAGGGAACCTCTTCTCAGGGAGTCAAGCGCCACCATGACCTACTAAAGAGAAATATCACTTCAACTCCTGAGTGACATACGCCAACTCTAGAGATTGACAGTTTAATTTCATTAACATAAGGACAGCCCACGGTATGTCATTTCACCCTTCAAGTACAAGTTGGACTAGCCAGTAATTGTCAAGCAAAAATTAAAAAATGTCATGTTTAGGCTCATTACTTAACTCCCACCCTGAACTATAAAAATGCCACGACAATACATTGAGAGGAGGAAGAACCACCTGGGGGGTAGAACCCTATAATACCTCGATCAACCTCGTGCCAATTTGAGAAAACTGTCCTGCCCCACCCCATTCCAATTATAGGACAAGGGGTTTCACTCTACCGGGGTGGGTTGGGATGTGGGGCTCATCCAATGACCACCCCATTGCCATTCTTAGAGGTGATTCTACACTACTGACATCATATTAATTGCAAGCACATTCAAGCCAGAGCCAACAATAGCTAAATTTAATCAGGAAATATATTTCCTCTCTTAACAATTATAAGGTAGAACTAGAAAGCATTGGATAATTTGGTAGAACTAGAAAGCATTGGATAATTTGTTCTGATGATCTAACTCAATTTTCTCCTGATAATCTAACGCATTAAACAGAATAGTTGAAGTTTTTTTTTTGGGAGGGGGATAAACATATACCTGCAGTTACCATCTCGGCATTTGTAAGCGGACCCACCAAATATGTGATAGGGAACAGAGAAGAATTCATTGTATATCAACCCACAATAAATTGAAAATAGCGCCATCAGAAGGAGTATATAGCGGCCACCAAATAGCATCTCCATAAAGCTGCCAAGTTTCTGACATGAAACAAATATCAAATACAAATTCAAATTGCACCAAAAATCAAGGCAAACGTATTTCGAATACCATACATCACAGATTTCTATGTATCTCATTGAGAAGTAATCATCATCATCTAATCGTTCTGGAAAAGGGTCAGTTCAATTGACCATGTTTGTCTTACTTCCTCTCTCAAGAGATGATCAACCAGTGCAAAGTTGATTGTTTCTTCGGTCAATTGATCAAGATCATTTGCCTCGCCTCCCTCATACCTTAATCCTTTTACCTGCCTTACCCCCCATACTTGAATTAAAATTTTCATCATTCACCCATAGTTCCCCAAAAAAAACCAATAACAAAAACAAAAAACAAAACCAAAACCAAAAAAAAAAGATAAAGAGAAAAATTCCTCCACACAAGCTTCTCCATCCACCAAGATCTCTAAAAGGAAGAATTTTTTCATAAACGAAAGATGCTTTGTACCAAATGTCTATCCGAAACCCAGTCCCCATGCCCCCGGTTTAAAAGTAGCCTCTTTACCAAGAAGAACCACAACCATACATTGAAGCTTCTAAATATACGCAACATGACTTCCCCAAACATCCTAAGCCACAGCCAATATTCACCATCTACATGCCATACTTCCACACTGCCGCCTTTCTCAACAAGCATTCTCCCTGCCAGCAAATCTCCATGATCCAAAACATTTTTTTGTTCATTGACATATAGAGTTTTATGGAAGATGGAAATAAAGTGAACAAAAAAAATTGTGAATCATAAAACTAAAAGATCCCAAAAGATTCCTCTTAGGGTCAGGTAATTGCATCCTATTGTGTTTTCAGAAATTCTAAAGGGAAAACAAAGTGGCATATTATTAAGAAAAAGGAAAAAGTAGTTCTGGTACTTGAGCAATAGTGTACAAGGAAAAAAAACTCCATTCTAGCATCATCTTCGATCTACTCAGAACCAAAACATAAAATATAAATTAATGAGTTCTTAGAAAAAAGAACAATGATGGAAGGTCAACAATTTCCAAAACGGGAAACAACACGACGTAGAACAACATGCAGAAAATTAATCCACCCTAAAAGACCACAAAATTCATGTTACTATATACTTTTTTTGTTTATGATTAGACAATTTCTTAACTAGAAAACAAAATTACTGGATCTGAGAAGAGAACACACCTGTGAACCAAGCTTCCTTTCACGAGCTATAAGAACTAATGCTCCCAACAACAAGCATATTCCATGACCCCAATCCCCAAACATCACGGCGAAAAGAAATGGAAACGTAATAACAGTATAAACTGCAGGGTTTGCTTCCTGATATCTAGCAACACTGCCAATAAATTATTTTATTAGTGTCTTGCTGAATTCCACGGGTATACACACGTACCCACACAAAGACATGCAAAAGTGACACAGTTCAGCAGCAAAATAGTGTATACTAAAAATGTATTCAATTCATTAAAAGTAAGTAAAATAAGCTACGAAAAATAGTATGTTAAGTGAATCGGAATAATTTTGATTACATTTTGTAATAAACAATTAAATATATATTACTTGTTTTTGAGTTCATGCTAATGGGGAACACTAAATGCACAACTCCCACAAATTGGTTCCTTTCTTGGCCATTTACTAATGACGTTGATTAGGGAAATGAATCTAAGTTAGTCACTTACATAAATCAACTATGGTAAGTAGGGAATTAATGTACTAAAACATGAAATGCAATCAAATTGGATTAACCGACATGGAGAGTCGACATAATTAATTCACTAAAAGATCCCAAATGGGTATAATCCAAGAACAGGCTATGCATATGAGCAAAAAGGAATGTCCCAAATGGGCCAAACCTCCTATATAATCATCACTAAGGAAATCTGCAAAAGAATCAGAGGATAAGGCAACCAACTCAGAGACCCAAAAAGACCTGAAACCCAACATCAACTGCTTTAGTTTATGAATTTGAATCCCCACTCCCATAAAACAAAAAGAGCTGTCACGTTAAAAACCATCCCACATAATCTTTTTAAAGACCATTTATAAAGATGTTTCCACAAGGGAAATAATGTTAAATCAGATATGAGAAGCAGGGAGACAGATACAGAGAAAACTCATGCCCAAGGAAAAAGATAGCTACAGATTTTAACTTTACCCATATGCATCAACAATTTCCTGAAATGCATTTGTAAATCGGTTGGTTCTAAAGTATGTTGGCGGTGATTCTTCCACGGCATCCATCACATGAAATATTATGCCCACTTGTGAATTGCTATCAAATGTTGCTCGTTGAAGTGCCTCCTGAATCTTTTTTTCCAAAAAAAAAAAAACACTATTTTTCATGAAACTAATGTAATAGAATTAATTGCGGGTATCTTACCCAAACCAAGAACATTATAAAGAGAGAGCAAGGTACCTGAGTTTTTGCAAAAATTGGGCACCAGCCCTCTCCAACAAGACATTTTTTTGTAACATCAAAGTTCAGCATATTTAATGTGTCATACACAGCTTTCTCCCTCCTAACCTAGAAAATGTTCAAAAAAATTGAATGATAATATCAAGAATGAAGAATTTACTCCCACATTTAACACTCAAGGCAACATTGTTCCATACTCCAAAACAAGAACATAAAAGAGCTATATCTTACCATACTCATCCATTTCGTTAGGTGAAATGCAATGGAAGTAAGGGCCTTATTTCGATGACGGATTCCAGCATCCAAGGTGGCTTCAAGCTCAGAGAGACGTGATAAAACCTGCAATCAAGAAGTTGAACTTATAACCAAGCAATAGGATGCTCAATATTGCTATAATCAGATATTTGTTGCAAGCCACTTTAGCAAATATCAAGGTTCTTAGTTGAGTTGGTTTGAGATGATACATATATCTCCATATACCAAAATAATATTTTTAAGGAAAAAATTTAGAATCTTTGGTGGGATTTGTAAAATCTGCATATATTCTATGAGAATATGGGAAAAAATGTATATCTTTCTACATATTTTCTTTTGGCTGAAAACATCATTTTGAAAATAGAAAGAACGTCATTTTGAATTGATTTCTTCCATGTCTGAAGAAATATATAGTCCATCTATTTCATGGCATACCTCGCGAGTTATTTGCCTCTGTTTGGTTATATCTTCAGGAACAGGATAGCAATTTGCCCCAAAGGCTTCGCAAATTTTCAGTATTTTTGTTTTTGCCTGCTCACCTGAGAAGAATACTACAAATACTGTTTTCTCAACCTGCAAAGTTAATACCAAAGGAGTCAGATTCATTGAACTTAAAATCAGCCAATGTTCTTTTAAACGACCAAAGTGAACCGGCCGTTGAATCAGTGGAGAAAATATGCAATTAAAAAGTGGAATGATGTCGATATTTTCAGTTAATAAAGTTGTATCGAGAAAATAAGATGAAAGAAGATTTATCCCAAAAATATAATAATAGGTGTAATGAAGAAAATGACCAATTCAGTTGTTACTGGATCCATGATTTGTTCATCAGCCGGTGCTTGATTGAAAAGCATATTGCCCCTCGTAGCACGGAACAACATCCTCTCAAATCTAAGAGCTTTGGATTTACAGATGATGCCACTAATAAATCTTAAACCAGATTGATTTGATGGTCCAGGTCGTATCTCCTGTAACATGAAGAATTTTTTATAAATGAAATTAAAAATCAGAGCGTATCATGTGAAAATCAGTTCAAATGTGAAAACACAGAAGTATAATTACCTGTTCAAGTAATGATGCTGTATCCGCATAGTCATCATTGGAGTACACATTTTCATCCAATTCTCTCTCCTCTGCAACTGCATGACTCTTACTTGAAATAAGGAAGCCACCTGCCTGGAATCCCCCAGGAGGCACAGAAAAGCATCTAAATTTAGATTTTGCAAGGAAATGCTTCATATATATATATATAATTCCAAGAAAACACAATTTAGCTAATTGGAATGGGTCTAGTCAGCCACAAGTTTCCACACTAAAGTACAATTATCTTAAAACAATAAATATATTCCCTCTGAAGTTTTGAACAACTAAACAAGAAAGAAAAGGAAGTGCAACCAATGTTTGGACACCGAGACATATTTATAATGCTATAACTGCAAATATACATTCAGAGGCTATTTGTAGACCTCAAAGAGTAGAGCATCATATTGATGGGTAATGAGGCCAAGTGAGTGGAGATAATTTCTTGAAGATGCAAGTAAGGACAAGTTCTCAAATATTTAAGTGAGGGCAAGTTCTGAAATATTTAAGACACAAAAATACAGGGGACCTACAAATTGAAGAAAGTCTATGGGCTCGTTTGGCATAGCTTTTGCTTCAGCTTTTATACAAAAGGAAAAGAGAAGCAGAAGCTATCACTTCTATTTGGCTTATGATTTAGTGTTTGGAACATGTATTTTAGAATAGCTTTTTATGTCAGAAGAATTTTTATATCTGTTTGGAAAAACATTTACTGAAGCTCTTCTCCTACTAAAATAGCTATTTTGCCTTAGATGGTGTGAACAATTATGTCTTAAACACCGTATCAATAAACCATTCAATTTCTTCGTTGGGTACATATAATCCTCATTTTCCTTTTATCTTTTTTTTCCCCCTCATTTGCCATCTAATTTAAAATAACAAATGAATAATTATTAAGTGGTAAAAACACCTAGTAAATGCAATGAATCACAAAAAATGAATATTAAATTCAAAAAAACAAGAATTTTTGTATAGAAAAGGTTGAGAAAAAAACTAAATAAAAGTTAGTCTAGTTAAAATGTTCAACTGCTCCATGAGTGAAAAAAATAAATAAATAAATAATAAATAAAAATAAATGATTTATCTAGTTTACTAGATGAAAATTCTTATTGATTCCTTTATTCATACTGATTGTTTGATAAAGGATTATTTTTATTTATTTTTTTTGATAAGTAAGATTTTATTAAAAACGCTCAAAAAGGAGAACGAAACCCAAAGAAACAAAAGGAACACAAGGGCCAGAGGGCGCCTTAGACCTTCAGAGAGGCCAAAAAAACAATAATTTCCTCCACAGATCTATAATCTCTCCCTGAAACCCAACAAAAAAGAGTAGAAATAACAGAGAACTTAAGCATAGAAACAGGCTTCTTTTTCCCGTCAAAATATCTCCTATTTCTCTCAAGCCAAATACACCACCAGATACAGAGCGGCGTAGCCCTCCAAGCATCCCTAATGCCAACCCCAACAGATACGCCTCTCCAAGCCTCAATCAACCCTCTAGAGGAGAAAGGCATAGCCCAATGAACCCCAAATAAACGAAGCATCAAATCCCAACAATCTCTGGCCATGCTGCAATGTAAAAGGAGGTGATCAACAGACTCTTCATGACACAAACACATGTAACAGTGATTGACCACCACCTGATTCCTCCTCCTCAGATTATCCTGGGTTAAAATCTTACCCAGAACAGAGGTCCAAGCAAAAAAGGCGACCTTGCGGGGAGCCTTGGACCGCCAAATAGACTTCCAAGGGAAGGGATCTCCATGACCAAACGAAAGGCATCTGAAAAAGGACCTAACCTCAAAACGGCCATGCGTGGTAGGAATCCAGAACCACCGATCTGATCCCCCAATAGAAAACACCTGGCTATACAACAACTCCAGAAAACGAGAAACACCCTCGATCTCCCAATCCTGAAAATGCCTCCTGAAACGAACATCCCAAGACAGTCTCCCGTTATCAAGATGATAACAGTCGACAACCATGGCCTGTCGATGAGAAGCAATCCTGTAGAGCCGTGGGAACGCGAGAGCAAGAGGGAGATCCCCACACCAGAGATCCAACCAAAAACTGATCCTCCTTCCATCTTCAATACGAAAACGAACATGCTTGCAGAAATCATCCCAACCCCTCCGAATACAATGCCAAACTCCCACTCCCCTTGGACCATGCATTTCCAGGGAGCACCACCCACCACGACTTTCCCCAAATTTGCAAGCAATAACTTTCCTCCATAACCAATGCCTCTCGATCCCAAACCTCCAGAGCCATTTACCAAGAAGAGCCTTATTAAAAGGTAACAACCTCCGAAACCCTAAGCCTCCAAACCGAATTGGACGGCACACTTGTTCCCATCGAACCAAGTGAAATTTGAACTCTTCACCTTTCCCCCACCAAAGGAAGTTGCACTACAATCTTTCAATTCTCTCAGCCACTGAAGAAGGAATCTGAAACAAAGACAAGAAGTATGTAGGCAGGCTAGAAAGGGTGCTCTTAATCAGGGTAACCCGACCCCCCTTGGACAGAAACAGGGACCAAAGAAATTCTCATCATAACTCAAAGAAAACTTCCACCCATTAATCTAAAAACACCAGCCAGGATATATATATATATATATATACACACACATATATATAATTTTTTTTTCATTTTTGACATTCATGGCATAGCCAAGAAATTTTTGCTTTTAAGAATTTTTTGTGTCTATAATTTAAATCCCCTGGGCAAGTGTTGCTTCTTTAGCCCTTAAATTTGCTTTAAACCATGAGATCTGGTTTATTTATTCCTTTATTTCATGACTCCATATTAGGGTTAGAGAGAATTTTTTGCAATCTTTGAAGGACTTTATTCGCTCATTGTCTACCATCATGATGGTAGACAATGAGCGAATAAACATAAAAGATCAAATATTTGTGTGGCAGAAGATATGAAGGTTTAGTGCAGTGGAAATCGCCAGTGACCCTAGTTGGAGAAGCAAGAATTGGTTGCTTGAGGACACCGTCTCTGCAAATTATGCGAGAGCTTTGCCGTGTACTAGGGTTTAGGAAGAATATAAGTGGGTGCTATATAGGGACATGCTTGGAATTCCATTTTTTTACTTAAATAACAATTCAGCTTCCCGTGTCTTTTCAGAAGAGCGTTTTAAAGAAGCTGGCCAGCTTCCCAGCTTCTTTAAAACGCTCTTCCAAAGACCCAAAGCTCTTTTAAAAAAATAGCCAAACACTACTCAAAACAGCTTCAAGATCCAAAAAGCCAAAAGCCGCGTTTCAGAAGGCAATCCAAACAGGGCTTATGATCATACAAAGGGGCAACAGAATATATATATATATTGCTAATGAATAATTTTGATAGGAAAATATATATCTGAATATGACGAAAGTATCGGTAATAAATAATTTTTGATAGGAAAATATATCAGTGGATAATGGTGGGATTTCCCCACAAACTATTACTTTCAGTATTGCAAACATTTTTGTTAAGAAGCAACAGATAGGATAGGATGTCCATGGCTCACTACTGTAACCAAGAAAAATGCAAGAAAATATACCTTCTGCAGTACCATCTTGAATTCTAGCAACTCATTGTACGTTTGTTGCAGTTTCTCACTGTTACCATTCATTTCAATTAACTCGTGTTCATGCTCAGCGAGTTGAATCTGCAATCAAGAGAGAGAAGACAATATCCACATTAGATTAAAAGCAAAGTTATCCTTTCATAAAGATTAAAAGGTTCATTGCCTTTTCTGATAACATATTGGTATTGCTGGTACCAGGAAAAGTCCAGCAGGAAAAACAAAATGTTCATTAGCCAGTAACTGAAAAGCAAAAGAAGGAAATGGACCTCTAATTCCTTCAAATCAACATCTGGCTGCAAAGTAGGAAGCCCAGAAGGCAAACCGGCTTTATGAATTTGATCCTTAAAAAATCGTAGTTTTCTTGACATCTCAGCACATCTTTTTACCTGCCAAAAATCTCAAAAATATGAAGACAAAATGAATGAAAGGAAACTGTGGTAAAAATAATAATAAAATAAAATTTTATTTAGTTACTTTACTATCACTAAGTTAAATTAAGTGTAATCTAGAGAGGCATTTCACAATAATAAAAGTACTCAAAATTCAGTTAAAACTAATTTCAAAGAAAAAAGAAGAACAATTTAGCAAGCCTTTTTCTTTTAACAAATCGAAACCAAGTTCATTAGCTTTATACAACTTTTTTTAGGGCTTGTTACTAAAGGGAAAACATGAAACTTATATGGCCTAATGCTAATAGTAAACTAATAGGCCAGGCATTTAAGTGTTGCGGTCGCATGATTAGTTTTACTTGTTCAGCAAAACCGAACTCTGTTTTGGTGTTACCATGAGTCTTCCAAGATATTTATCACATTCTCCAAAGTTTGAAGGTATAATGGTAATTTCGCACAATTCAAATAGTGCCTCACCATCTAGAACTCTCACTACACAAAATATATATATATATATATATATATATATTCTCTATTTCGAGAGAAAGAAAAACTGGATGGGATTAGAAGAGAGAGAGAGAGGAGAGCACAGTATCAAAGGTAAGGAGAACATGCGCAGCACATGCAAAACCTCAGGTTCATTAAGACTAACATTTTTTTTTGATAAGTGCGAGACTAACATAAAGGCAAGTCAGGAGGCAGATTTCTCAATTTCATTTAACGGGAGGTACATAACTGTGTTTATGAATTTACATGCAATCACAAGTGTATTAGCTCTTACAGTAACATTAGTTTTATGATTTGTTTGGAAAATTCTTGATATTACTGGCTACAGCATGATTAATAACATCTATTTAACTAATCAATGGAGAAGAAGAATATGAATATACTAAAAGAATTTCTCCTCCCACAAATTGAAAAAACATAGAACTGTAGATATAAATTCATAAATATAAATGATTGTTGTAACATGACGATATATGAAATACAAACCCATTATATGTCAAAAACATATATCAACATGAAAGGCCTTCATTACGCATTAGCAGTCGTGTTCAATATATACCTGATTAACAAACGTTCTCTGGAAGGGGCTTTTATCAGCGTTCAACTGCCAAGAAAAAAATTAAAAGTAGTGAACACGTCTGATTAATTATTACAACATAAGCAGGAAAAACTCATTTTTGTCATTTGGCAGGCAATAAGCTTACAAAACCTTCAAGCATAACAGCATTTAATGGCAAAAAGGGTGAATAAACCATAATATTATCTAAAAGTTCTTACTACTATGAAAACTTTAGCATAATTTTTCCCTTCCAAAAAAATACTAGACTAGAAAAAACTTATAAAAGCGGTAGAACAAAGCTGAATATATGCAATGTAACTGTAGCAAAACTAGAATTGCAAATGGGGATGTAGTGAAGATTGAGGGTCAGGAGATACTAAACGAGTAAAAGCAAACATTTTCATTACCTACACTGGATTATGCACAAAGAGAGAGAGAGAGAGCCTGGACAATGTTTGTCATAGGATTATAGTGGAATAGGCTAAATGGAGAAGTGCTTCTGGCATATTTTGTCATTGGAGTATAGTAACTTTTGTAAACAACTACTACACCATTCATGCAGGGGTGGGTGGAAGGGTTGCTAGAACCAGTCAAAAAATTGAGTCAAATTCACATATACAAGATGACAATTTTGTAAAATTGGCCAATATTTTTCTTTTTTTGTTAATTCAGCTAAAGGTTTGGACAAATAGTTCAAAAACTCAGTGGAATGCGATCTAATTGTTAATTAACTGGGTTTTCTGAAATTGAATAAAAATTTAACAATTTACGTGAATTCGTTTTAAGCCAGCAAAAACGGCTGCAACTCCAATCGTCACCTTCATTTTCTAAAAATTTTAAATAATTTAATTGACAGTTAGTGGAATCTTGTGTGCAACGATAATGTAGTCCACTGTCCTGATTTCACAAGATAATCTACCATCTCCATTGAACAAACAAGAAGGCATTCGTATCTGCGACATGAAGGGATCTGAGCCACTTTTGTAAACCTATATAAATTCTGATTACTCTGTTTAAAAAAATTAAGAATGCTTAAAAGAACCTCTACGCCCAAATCTCAGCAAAATGACTGGAACCAACCCACAACATCTAGTCACACAATTAGATTCATCTGTATGTGTGTTAAATTTCTGTTTCACATTGGAATCAATTGTGACATTCATTATTTAATAAATTATATATAATTTATCTGATAATTATTGGAATCTTGTGTAAACCGAAATCTGGGCCAGACTCAGTTGATTTTTTACAATATAATTTACGATCTCCATTGAAAGGCAAGCACCAAATCTCAACAAAAAGATTGGAAACAACCCAAATCATCTCTACTCGTAATTAGGTTCATCATGCGTGTTAAATTTCTGTTTCACGTCGGTAATCAATATCCAAAAATGCCTCCAATCAAGAAAATAAAGATCCAAAAATATGGGAATTCATGTGCTACTCAACCAGCATCAAAATCCAAAAACTGAATCAAAACAACCAAGTCCGTATCGAGTTAAACTACAACGCCAAAAAATACCAATCAAGGATATCGATGAACTTTATAAATATGTATATGCAAATACATGTATACTATTTGGTAAAAGAAAAGAGTGATAAACGAACAAGAACGGATCTGAGTTGGGAACGTACATCTCGGAATTGGAGAAGGCCTAGTTCGCCGATGTAAGAGATGGCTCTGTGAGCGGACTCGACGGGTATAATAAGCTGAACGAAAGTCATCTTCTCCGAGCGCATCAGATCCATTGCCGGCAAGTTGTCGATGTACTCCATCTTCCAATGCTTCGATTAGGAGAGTTTGGATCTTTCAGATCTGACGCAAACACAATCGCTCTCCCTCTCTTTCTCTCTCTAAAAATATGTGTTGCTTTCTCTCACTATAAAAGCTCTGTGTGTAGTTGTGTGTTTTATTTTCGATGGCTCAGTTTCGGTTTTTCTTTGGCAACTGCCATTGGGATCGAGAATTTGGAGTCGTTTTCGTCGAAGGTGGAAAAATGAAGACGAAGAAATACGCAACTATTTTATTTACTTATAACGGAATTAATATGCGATCTGACTCGGCCTAAAAAATTCAAGTACTTTCCCATGTACACAAAACTTTGTTAGGGTTATTAAAACCCAAAACCAGGTAGTTTCAAAGGTAAACAAATATATCAATTAATTTATTAGTTTTTTTTTTCTTTGGTTAGATTAGATTAAACAATTTAGTTTTTCATTATGATAAGTTTGTTAAACATTTAATTCTAAACTTAAATGTGTTCAATAACACAATCTAAATATTAAGGGTAAAGTACACTTATACCCCCTCAGGTTTGCCAAAAGGACAATCAGATGAAACTTATATGTTTTTTTGGACAAAAACACCCTCTGATACGAAACTCCAACCAAACAAGACCTTAAATCCCCTAAAAGACAAATTACCCTTACTATTAAATTCAGATTTATTGTAAAATATCAAACATATTAAAAGGACACAATTACCCCCAGAAAAAACCCAAATTCCCTCACAAGTCTCATCTCTCTGACACCTCTCTCTCTCTTCCTCCTACGCTGCCTCCGTGTGTAAAGTCCTTTTTCATTATATATATGTATCAAAGTGTTTGATAATTATCATCAAGAACAGAACAAAAAAGGCAGTAATTTCGTGAAGAAGACGAAGTCGAGAACTGGCAATCTGAAAAAGCCAAAGTAACTGATCTCGCCGGGCGGGATTGTGAGTTTCCTCAACTCTCTCTTCACCGCCGGAAACTCAAAGAAGGCGAAGATCTCATCCTTCGCCGGAGACTACTATGCGAAACAATTAGACAGTGGATTTTGCAGCGGATCGAAGACAAGCAGATCGGCGATGGATCGAAGATGCCGTCGATGAAGAAGACAAGCAAATCGACGGTGAAGTGTTATAAAGTCCTCCAGGTCAGGGGGCAGGCACCGGAGTTAAAGATGGTCCAAGAGCCATCGCGTCTAATATAGGCAGAACCAAAGCTGAGCCGAAGCTATGCCATCACGTCTACTATCTAAACGGCGGCAATAACAAATTCGGAATTTGGGGGTGAGTATGGCCGGAGGCCAGAACCGGAAGGACCAGGATACTGCTCTTGGCATGCCCGAAGGCCTGAGTTTGAGCAACCTAGTTTGAAGTATGGATCTGAGTATGGTCTAGCACTATTTGGTCTGCCGTATGTCCATTAAGAGAGGAGACTGTCGATATTTTTAATTTTTTTTTTTTTACTTTTTTTTATGCATAAATTCATGAGGGTAAATTGGTCCAATTTTTTAAATTACATAGTTAAACAGGTCCCTAAACGGTCAAAGGGTAATTTGGTCAATTTCTCATGTAAGGGGTGTCTTTGTCTACTTTTGAACTTTCAAGGGATGTCTTTGTCCAAAAAATAAATAAGTTTCATCTGTGTGTCATTTTGGCAAACCTCAAGGGGTGTTAATGTAATTTACCCAAATATTAAAATGGAATAGCATTTAAGTGATGGAAATTTTATTTACCCATTAAACACTAGCCATTTAAAAAAAAAAAAAAAACTCAAGAAAATACATAATTATTGTTAATTTCCAATTAAATTGTTCAATACTTAAAATTCATTTTCTAAATTTTTTATTATTTAAAATACGATACGTTCAACTGCTAGTTCACTTATAACAAATTTGTAATTTTTTTTCTTTTTACTTGTTGTATAGAACAAGTGTTTTGTGAGTTTTCTTTGCACAAATGATTTCTGCATCAATCATTGTCACTTCCATTTCATTTCATTTTTAAGAGAATAATAAAAATTATTATTTATGTCTAAATTTTTGTATTCCCCCACCCTTAATGAGTGTACCCCCCTTTAAATTCTTCATTTTCTTTTCCTTTCCATCTATCATTTTCTATCAAACACAATTTTTAATTTTCTTCTATTATCATTCTTGTTAGAATATATTCTACAATATGGTAATAATATATTATAACTTTATATAAGATTACCATATATAGAATTATAACATTGTATAGGATTATCATATATATATATATATATATATATATATAGTTACCATATGTGTGTGTGTGTGTGTGTGTGTATTGTTTACTTGTTCATCACACATAACCCCTCTTATATAAACCTCTATTATATACATCTCAACCATGTCAATATAATACAGAGTTATATGCTATATCTTTATATCTAACATGGTATCAAAGCCTTTCGATCTCTGGTAAATAATCTACCAGTTTATCGTAGTCACCGCTGGGAATGGCAGCATTAGCCCCATCCAGTTTATCGTAGTCACCGCCGGGGATGGCACCATTAACCCCATCCTCGGCGGTGGTAGTCAACCAACACGCTTCCGCATTCTAAGATCTTCATATGCCCCGCCCAGGGAAGTCTCGTTGTCTAAGTTTCCCTTCGGGAAACACAACGAGATGCCTCGTTTAGAGAAGCCCCATCTAGGGATGCCCCATATAGGGAAGCCTCGTTGTTTAACGAGATACCTCGTTTAGAGATGCTCAATGTGTCGGATCGACTCCGTCGCCGCACCACCACTTGCCATTAGTGGTCACTATGCGCTTACACGCGCCTTCAACCTATTCACGTTCCGCACCTACCTCCAAGATCTTCACATATCCACCCCACGTCACCTAACAAGTTAGCATCGGTCCAACATTAGACACATTCTGCAACGATGCTGTGATACCCCCCGGATTTCCGAAAGCGGGTTGGCCAGGCCCACGCCCGAATACCCGAGGATATCAAAACAAATTGATAATAAACAAACACAGAATACAAAAGAATAAAGAAGAATAAATAAAACGCTGACAAGAAACTAAAATGACAATCTAATAATAAACCTCAGAATATATTTCCATTAATTAATAAACTCTTCTGATACAATTGATCCTCCAAAATACAACTCGGGAATCCATACTGTGTGGACCCCTAGAAAATTTAAACTAAACAAATGACAGCAATAACTGTCAAAATCAGGAAACTGAATCATAAAGGAACTCCTACGTAGCATCGGAAGAACGAAGTAGACTGATCCCTGCTCAGCACGAACAACCTCTATTCCTGACGAACACCTGAAAAATAATGGTGGGTCAGGCCCACAAACAAGTTCTACTCTACTACAGTCCAAGCAGAGATCCGATACACGTATACATCCTAGTCAATCCAACAATAACTAGTAGTCCGTATATATATATACACACACTAAAGGAACCTCACTAAACTATAGGGTTGTCTCAACTTGAATAGTAGGCAACATGCAAAACGCACATATAGTGGGCATGAATACCTAGACCTACCAGGGTACACAACTACACTATATCTAGTTACACATCCCTGGCGATATACGCACCCTAACCACTGATCCTGAGACTCAAGCTCATATCATGGCACCATACTTATATATATATAATCTAGTAACCATCCTATCCGGTATAAATTAATCCTCCATAAGTCATTCAACTTGTTCAGCTGACCTGACTTGAATATAAGTAGGACTTAACATTTTAGTTAATCCATTCCCTTATATAATAAATTAATCATCCATAAGTCATTCAACTTGTTCAGCTGACCTGACTTGAATATAAGTAGGATTTAACATTTTAGTTAATCCATTCCCTTATATAAAATAGGTAGGACTTAACTGATAAGTTAATCCGTTCCTAGAATGTCACCGTCCCATACCGGTGCATTAAATCACACAATTCAACAATTGATGTAACGATTAAGGAAATACATCAAACAATTCAGAAATAACTATGATAATATGATATCAAGTTATTACAAAATATGAATAACTTATTATTTATTTAAGTTTTCTATCTCATATGTCCTACATAAACTGAATCTTATACATATGATGATATTTTATTATACCGTCAAATAAGTATTCTCCATATCCAATTCATCCGACACATTTAATCTCGATTGTTAAAACATATTAAAAGATTAAATTATTTCGTTTGTTTAAAACATTCAAATAGCAAGCATTATTATAATTGAGTCTATTTAAATTTATTTAAACCCAAACCTAGTTCCTATTTAATGTTCAGGAATCCTAGGCATGTTTCCACGTTCCATCATTCCACATATATGAAATATACATAATTTAAACATGTAAAAATTCACACCGGAAATCAAATCAAAATCATGCATTTATCAATTCATAATACAAGAACAGATATAAAACCTATGTTCTAATCTAATTAAACATGCATAATTATTTAATTTTACGTGTTTAATAAATCTTGAAATTTCTTAGGCATGTATAGAAACACAAATCAAAGGGAAAGAGATAGAAGAAGAACTTGCCTTAAACTTTCGGACTGAAAGCTAAACTCTTCTTCCTTGATCTTATTTCTAAAGGGTTTTCTCCTCATTCCTTCCTCTTTCTCCTTCTCTCTCTAACTCTCTCTCTCTAGAATATATTACGTGATATATTTTCACTTCTTTTTCAACCTATAGTTGTGTATTTATAGGCTAAATAATAACCCTATTCCTTTTTCCAATCCAAGTCAACTTAATAAAGAAAAATAAAAAAATGAAAATATTAAAAAGGTAACTTAAAATATGTTACGTATATAATCTCTGTATATCTTTATTAATTAAATAAAATATATACATTAGATTATTTATTAATACTAAAGTTACCATAATATTAAAAGGTAACTTAAAACATGTTACGTATATAATCTATCTATATCCTCATTAAATAAATAAAATATATACATCAGATTATTTATTTATACTAAAGTTACCATAATATTAAAAAGTAACTTAAAACATGTTACGTATATAATCTATCTGTATCCTCATTAAATAAATAAAATATATACATCAGATTATTTATTTATACTAAAGTTACCATAATATTAAAAAGGTAACTTAAAACATGTTACGTATAAAATATATGTATATCCTTATTATATAAATATATAAAATATATACATCAGATTATTTATTAATACTAAAGTTACTATAATATTAATAAATTACTTTCCTTTTTATATATATGTA